CGCGTTAGGAGCTGCGCCCTAGGCTCGGGGGCACCATTTTTGTGCTCTAACGTCGGTACGAAAGCTGCAGGGTCAGAGGGAGGTCCCCTGCGGAAACTTAAGATAGTCGTTTTTGCTTCTTCCAGAAAGGAGTCCCTGGAAACTCCAAGGGCAAAAATGCAGACCTTGTCTCCGCAAGGGTCACTTGAGTTATATTAATCACTTAAAGTCTTAAGAAGTTTTCTCAAATCAATCCACTGCTTCTGCCTGCACGCGGAAACCAGGTACACGTGATCACACTGTTTGCCCTGAGAGCACGTAATTATAGGTTGATGTTGCTCAAAGAAAAAATATTTTTAACTATTTTTTGAACTATGACCTTTAAAAAAATTCAGAAGAAAAAGGGTACCCTTTTGTAACCATCACCCAGTTCAATATTGTCAATTTACGGTCAATCTTGCCTGCATCTGTACCCCACATACTCTCCATCCATTGTTTTGAGGCAAATTCCGACTTGTATATTGTTTTCTTTTTAATAGATTTTATTTTTAGAACAGTTTTAGAAATACAAATAGATTGAGAAGACAGTATGGAGAATTCCCACATAAGCCACACCCAGTTTTCCTTATTAGTTGCATTATATTAGTAGGATATGTTTGTTACAATTAAGGAACCAATATTGATACATTATTACTAAAGTCCATATTTTATTTAGATTTTCGTAGTGTTTACTTATTGTCCTTCTTCTGAGCCAGGATCCCATTCAGGATAACACACTTATTTAGTTGTCATGTCTCCTTAGGCTCTTGGCTGTGGCAGTTTTTCAGACTATCCGTGTTTCGATGGCCTTCCCGGCTTCCAGGAGTAATGGTGAGGCATTTTTGTACGATGCCCCATTGATGGAATTGGTCTGATATTTTTCTCATGTTAAGAGAGTAGTTATGGGTTATTAGAAGGAAGACTATAGAGGTAAAGTGTCATTCCTATAGCATCATATGAAGGGTACATTCTATGAGCATGATTTATGACAGTTGATATTTTCCATGATCACCTGGCTAGTACTTGTCAGGTTTCCCTACTATAAAGTTACTTTTTTCCCCTCCCTTTACATACTATACACTTTGGAAGAAGTCATTATGTGCAGTCTACACCTAAGGAAAGGGGGTTATGCTTCACTTCCTGAAGGGCAGAGTACTTACAGAAATTATTTAGAATTTTTTAAATATAAATTTATTTATTTTTAGCTGCATTGGGTCTGTGTTGCTGCGTGAGGGCTATCTCTAGTTGTGGCGAGCAGGGGCTACTCTTCGTTGTGGTGTGTGGGTTTCTCATTGTGGTGACTTCTCTTGTTGTGGAGCACAGGCTCTAGACATGCAGGCTTCAGTAGTTGTGACACATGGGCTCAGTAGTTGTGGCTCACGGGCTCTAGAGCGCAGGCTCAGTAGGTGGGCTGCACGGGCTTCGTTGTTCTGCGGCATGTGGGATGTTCCCAGAGCAGGGCTCGAACCCGTGTCCCCTGCATTGGCAGGCGGATTCTTAACCACTGTGCCACCAGGGAAGTCCCTATTTAAAATTCTTTTGCATGGGAGATTTGTCTCTCCTCTTCTATTTATTAATATATTCAATCATCTCTATCAGTAGGAACTCATAGATATTTATTTTATACTTTGGGTTATAATCCAATACTACTTTATTTCCTTGCTCAAATTCCAACTTTGGCCATTGGGAGCTCCTTCAGTCCTTCTTTTTTTATAAATTTATTTATTTTATTTATTTATTTTTGGCTGCATTGGGTCTTTGTGCTGCGCATGGGCTTTCTGTAGTTGCGGTGAGCGGGGGCTACTCTTTGTTGTGGTACGTGGGCTTCTCATTGCGGTGGCTTCTCTTGTTGTGGAGCACGGGCTCTAGGTGCTCGGGCTTCAGTAGTTGTGGTACGCAGGCTCAGTAGTTGTGGCTCGTGGGCTCTAGAGAGCAGGCTCAGGAGTTGTGGCCCATGGGCTTAGTTGCTCCGTGGCATGTGGGATCTTCCTAGACCAGGGATCGAACCTGTGTCCGCTGCGTTGGCAGGTGGATTCTTAACCACTGCACCACCAGGGAAGTCCCCTCAGTTCTTTTTTCTTCTCCTTTGACATGCTCCCATCAATATGGGGTTGTTTTTATTTTTTTGAGCACGTTCTTACTTTCTGGGACATTGTATATTTACATCCATATATATTTAAGGATGTATTTTTAAAAGATTATGACTGTTAAAAAACATCATCAAAATTTATCCCACCTTTAAAAATAGTTTCCTAATGTCATCAAATTAGTATTGAAAATTTCCAGATAGTCTCAAATGATTTTTAACAGTTGGTATGGTCAAATCAGATCCTACATTTGCATTCAGTGATGTATTTTAAAAAGAGATTTCTTGCAGCTTATGTATTGAAGTAACTGCAGTTTTTCTCACAATTTTGTTGATTACATCCTCTCTAGCAAGAATACTTCACAGGTGGTGTGTTCCTCTATTGCTCCACATCAGAAGACACTTAATATCTAGTCCTTTCTCTTTGGGGGATATTAAAATTAACTTAGCAGGTTCTAATGTTGTCAGACCTATCCATGCACTGTAAAGTTTCCAGTCAGCTTTTCATCTAATGATTCTGGATTCACTGATGATCATTACCTGGATACATTATTTCACTAGGGTTTCCGAAATGGTGATAGTCTGTCTTTTCCTCTGCATTTATTACCTGAAATTCTATAAAGAACTTTCTCACATCAACTACTTGACTGAGATTCAGTTTGTAACAGAAAAGGTAGGATGCTTTATTCTTTTATCAGTTTTCAGAATGTGATGATTCCTTGGCATCCTCCAAAGGTGATCAATGACATTTTAAAAAATCAACGCTCATTGATTTTTAACCTGGTAGATGTATCTCTATTGCTGTTATTTTTGAATGCTAAAATTGTCCTATCTTTGACCAGTGGGAACACCTTTGAATTGCCTCCTGAATCTTTTTGACACAACTCCTATGATCTTTGCTTTCTTCTTTGCTTTCTGATACAACCAAAATGTCCTAGGCTTTCTTGTACATTTCTTGCCCCAGATGTAGATTTAGCCCTTGAGCTTCAAGGATCCCAGGTGACTTTTAGTGGTAAATTATATTTAGAGATGATAGGAGAATAGGGGTGTGCATTGGGTTGATCATTGTTCTAGGCCTTTCCAGTGGACAGCCTTTTTTTTAAATGGAAATGAAATGTGCCATGAGTTCATACTGATATTTCTAAATTCAAATTTAGGGTTGTAGTGTTTTTACTTAATTTCTTTGATTTTTATATGTGTATTTCCTTTCTCCAATACTGAAAATCTTGGTTCCCAAGGATTACATATACACTTTATACTAATATATTTCAGAAATAACAGTATGAATGTTATTACTGACAATATGCACACTGAAAAAGCTTAAAGTTTCTTTTTTAATTTTTCCCCTTGGAATAACATATCAGTAGGAATATTTGGTCAATTTATTGTTTAAAAGTCAAATCATTTCTTGGGACTTCCCTGGTGGCTCAGTGGTTAAGAATCCCCCTGCCAATGCAGGGGACACAGGTTCGAGCCCTGCTCCAGGAAGATCCCACATAGCCCGTGTGCTGCAACCACTGGGCCTGTGCTCTAGAGCCCGCAAGCCACAACTACGGAGCCGACGTGTCACAACTACTGAAGCCTGCACGCCTAGAGACTGTTCTCCACAACAAGAGAAGCCACCGTAATGAGAAGTCCACGCGTGGCAAGGAAGAGTAGCCCCCGCTCTCAGCAACTAGAGAAAGCCCGTGCACAGCAGCGAAGACCCAACACAGCCAACAACAACAAAAAAAGCCAAATAATTTCTTTACTGTCACACTTTCACTGCATAATGTGCTTTAATCAGTATCTTCATTTAAGGAGGGAGGTGCCATTTCCTGTTGAAAGGAAAGAGGAACAGAGTTACAAAATGTTGAATTTTTTAAAGTGGGGTTTGTTTTTTGGTTTTGTTTTTTAGGTTTTTCTTTTTGTTTTTGGTGTGTGTGTGTGTGTGTGTGTGTGTGTGTGTTTTGCCAGCAGTTAGTATCAAAGAAGTTTAACCGAAAAAGAAGTTTTTCTTTATAAACTCTTGAATTGACTTGTCAGAATCAACTATATTCACGCAGGAGTTGTATGTAAGATATCTTAAAGAACAGCACTTAACTGGACAGAGTAGGTTTGCAAACCCTCCAGACTGAAACTGCTCTCACCTTACTTCTCAGGACGCGATTAGGCAACTATATTGAATACACATCCTCCACCCACCCACCCACCCCGGCCCCCAGTACCCTTTTTAAAGTTTTTTGCTAATTATTGAGCTGCTCCAGCATGTCAACCCCCACGCTGCGTGCGGGGTTGAGGACACTTCCAGCGCTCAAGGCTCACAGTACAGTACAGGAGACGAACGCACCAACAGTTTATTATTAAACAATGGCAGTAGGGGCCGCGTGGTGGACTCGAACGCGGTGTTCAGGAAACCCCCAGAACCTCTCCCAGAGATGAACTGTCTGACGGGCAGGTAGGCTGCTCCTGCTGACGCCGCCCACGTCAGGTGCAAGACTTACGCATCAAAGCTTGTAAGTCACAATTTTGAATTCTCATTTTTATAACTTTATGTCCCTGACTATGATGAGTAAGGGCCAAAGGGTTCAGAGGGAACATCTCCAAGGAGCGCGCTCTACAGGAAGCAATAACCTGCTTGGGCCGGGGAGGGGCGTGAGAGATAGGTCGGAACTAGAGGCGGGAGAACCGGTTCGCCGGGTCGACCGGGGATGCGGGGGAGTGGGAGGTGCCCAGCAAGTCTAACTCTCGTGCCTGGCGCTCCCGGGGTAGGAGACAGCGCTGCGCCGGCCCCGCCCACTGCAGACAGGTTACCCAGGCATCAAGGGGCGTCGCGTCACGCCGCCCGCGCCGTGCTGATTGGCTCCTCCAGGGAGCCCCGCCCCCTCAGCTGTAGTGGGGCCGGCTTCAGCGTCGCCGCCATCTTTGTTGATGTGTCAGCTCTGCGGGGGTTTGGGGAAGCCGCGGCGGAGGGAGCTTGGTGTCGGCCTTGTTCCTCACCGCTGCCCCCCGCCTCCGCACTTCCTGTTCTTCTGGACCCCTTTACGGAGAAGTTGGCCCCTACGCGGGAATTCCAATGGCCTCTTTAGGGGTGTGGCCTAAGGCTCGAAGAAGTGGGGTAAGTGCCTGAGGGATGGCAGGGGCGGGCCGGGGAGTCGCGGTGGCGGCGCGGCGGGCTGCTCACCTTCCGCGCCGTCGTGCCCACCTTCAGCGCCGTCCTGCAGGTCCCGGGGCGGCTCCCTGCCTGGCTTCTCGAGGGGGCGAGGCGAGCGCTGGGGGAAGGAGTTCGGAATCCCCTCCTCTCCCTGCCTCCTTTCCTCAGTCCCGGGCGCCGGGGCAGGAGGCGGCCGAGGGGTCGCCGGGGGCCGTGCCTCCAGAGCGGTGCCTAGAGAGCGGCGGAACTTGGGCCGCCTGCCTGGTCTCCTAATGCGAACTGTAGCTAAGCCCTACCTGCTCGGCCATCCCTCATAGACTCAGTCGCCTATTTCTCCTTTCCTCTCCAAGTTCGCTGTGTATATGTTTTATGTTGACTGTTAGCGACTTTTTAAACTCTCTTACAAACACTTCCATTACTGTGATTTTAAGTAATTTAGAGACGATTCTTTGGGATTGTGGATATGAGAGAAATCGTTCTTGGTGTTTATGTTGCCTTTTTTCCAAGGACATCAAGGCATTTGATAAACCTTGGTTGGTAAGGATCATGTTTCAAATTTGAGCCTCTCTCAAACTTGTAAAATGGTAAAACCCCTTCTACATGTTCCCTAGTAGCAGTCTTGGGGAACAGGTGTAATTATTGCTTGGCTGTTAACAGTTTAATAACTTGAGCTAATATTTACATTTTGATATTGTTTTGAGGAAAGAGGCCTGGATTTGGAACATTTGGATTACCTTTGACATGATAATCTTGTTACCTAGGAGCGTTGTTTAGAAGGCCATGCAGCCCCAGGCGTTTGGCAGTTTTCTCCGTGTATGCGTGTGTAATGTACCTTTGATGCCTAGCTTTGTTATTTTTTCCGAAATGATAGGTTGGGAGTTTTTCTAAGGAAATTGTGCGGCAAATTAGTGGAAGTGTTTCAAGAGGTGTGTTGGTAGTCACTCAAAAAGAAAAATCTATTAAGTGTTTAGGTATGGTAGTTGTGGGTGCAGCCTTCCCAACTACTAACTACATTGTCATATTTGCAGTGTGTGGGAAAGGTTAAGGTTCAAGAGATATTGATAGTAAAACTGAACTATCTGCTTGTGTATAAAGTCTGCTCGTCTCTGTACAGCTACTTTCCAATTCTTTATCCATCATTACACAAATAGAAAACAGTGATGATTGGCCTCGTTCTTTTTTTTTTTTCTTCCTTTTTGGTCTTTTCCTTTTATTTTAAATTCAGTGACAATATTGAGTGATTAACAAATTTTGCAGTATAAAGAATTAAAACTCCTTATTACATTGTAATAAGCAAGCATGTATAATTACTGAAGATTCTACCTGGAAATGCCTGGATTGTGTTTATATTGGTTTTATTCTTTTTAAGACCTTGTCTAATTCCTAATACCTGGATATAAACTCAGAGGTTTCTTTAAACAGCGGAGATTCCTTAGAGTTTCATTGGTATTTCAGAGTCTTGTTCGTTGCTAACAGGAATGGAGTGGTGTAGCACAGTAACCACTCTTTAACCTTTTAGTTCCTTCAACCATAAACTGAAGAGTTGTTCTTTGATGCTGTACAGTAACAGCATAGCTGATAATGATGACTTATTCACTTTAAAACCATCTATTTACAGCTACATGCTGACATCCTGGAATGAAGGTAAAACAGTGAAGTATACTCACTCTTTAGGGAGAGATGATAGGTTGAAGCAGCCTTTATTTAGAGATTTAGAAAAATCATCTTTCTCTTTGAAGGGAATCATCTTTCCCTAATTTGTGCTAGTTTTTCAAATTCATTTAACAGTTTCATGTTAAAGTAAGACTCCTTAACCTGAAGTTCTGTTTCTTTTCTTTCAGTAAAATTTAGGTCTTTCTTTTATCCCTTATCTCTAGCTTTAAATAATTAAAGCTGATTCTTGAGTTTCTCATAAACATGTCATGCTGCTTGCAGTGTTGGGAATGTTATGCTCAGTGTCATTTCAGGGCAACCTTGGGAGCATAGATAATTTAAATTTGCAAATTAACCCTGTAATCTTATCATATTATTGCAAATGTCACCTTTGAACTTTATTTCTCAGCTACTGAGATTTTAAAAATCTATTTGGGCTAAGAAGTAAACAAAAGAAAAAGTATTGGCATGAAGGGGCAATAAACACAAAGTGGAAATCAAACCCAGCAAAGTATTGATTGGATTGTGAGTATAGTTGTCAGTCATTAAGGCACATGAACTGTTAGTCTGTTTCAGGGATGATTAATTAGTAGCTAATGAATAATTTATTTTTTTGGTCAACTACATTGTACCAAATTAACCAAGCCCAGGCCAAAGGTGGCTTCAAAATTTAAACATTAACCAGAACTTCTTAATATAATATAAGGCAGACTTAAAACTTAATTTTTTTTTAAGTTATTAGCCTTCCTTTTTGAAAAGGGAGCTATAGGCCAATTACCCCCCCTTTTTTTAGCTTTCAGATTTGGGGGGGAAATTAGCTGAAAATACTTTTCATGTTTTCTTAGACTTATTAAAGTGCATTTGGTGAGCTCTGTACAAGTAGCTTCAAACTGAGATTTCTGTATTAAAATTTTTTCTATTTTAAAACTTACTATTAGAGATACATAAAATTGCATGGATCTAAGATACCAAACTGATAATATGACATATACTTGATAATGTGATGTATGATGTGGCTACTTACTCTCTTTTTCCTGGAATCTTGATGGACTGTAATGTCTTCTGTTTTCATGTCACAGGATTTGGTACTGTTTGGGGTGGGGGTGGGGTATCCTGCTGCATCTATTGCCCTGAGTCTTTTCAACATCTTTTTTTTTTTGGTGATATAGTGTACACACTGTAAAATTCACAATGCCGTAACCCTTGGTTGCAAAACTAAACAAATCCCTACAGGGATAATTGACCTTGGCCTCATATAATATGCTTTTTAACCTAGTGGACTAAAGACAACTTTTAAGAGCAAGTAATAATGTTTCACATAAAGGAAACTCGGTATATTAAATTTTACCCAAAAGCTTAGTTACAATGTGACTACTTTACAAATATATCTTACTTTTGGTAAAATTAGAGTTCTTTGAAATAACCAGCTCAGTTTTTAATTGCTTCTGATTTTAATTGCCATTTTAGAACCTTGTTACAACTGGTCGGAAAGATAGGTCATTATTTTGTTTATGCTGCTTTCAGAGTGTATTCGGGGAGTGTGTAAAAGACCTTTGGATGTACTTACTTTTCCTTCAAAGGACAGTAAACCATTATATTGAAGAACAGGAGTGCCCTCACAGGCTCAACTTGCTTATCTTAATGGACATTATTTGAGAAGCTATAGCTGGTATTATTTGAGACTTGGTACAGTTTGTAAGTTTAAAATTTGTAGTTTGTTGTAACACTTATGCTGAACTGAGTCACATGTTTCTGTGGGACTTAAACACTCATGCATTTGGACTTAGACACTCATGCATATCTTATATAGCTTCTGATGGAACACTGACAGACCTTCAAATTAAAATACTGTAAACACAATACTGCATTTATTGAATAAGCTTAAGTTCTTTTGTTGTTGTTTATACTGCTGTTTACTGAGAAACAAGAAATAGTACTAAAAGCTGTTAAAGACAGTGTTTTCGTTTATAAGGCTTTTGCTTGGAAATAATTTTGTAGAATTGCTAGTTCTTTGATTAAGAAATAAAATCCAAGGTGGATAATGGTTGGCTTTAAGGCAAGTAAATGTTTCTCGACCAGTTGCCTACAGCTGACGAGCTCCAGTAAGAGCGAAACCACTTCTCACTCCACTGAAACAATTTTGAAGTGTGAATTGGTCCTGTAGTACTGTGTCAGAAACAGAAACAACTCTCGGGGGGAAAAAAGTGCTTGAATTAAGAGGAATTTTGTGACTGCTAAATTTAAATACAGTATTTTCCCCTAATGAGCAAGAGTTACTAAAAAGTCAAATAACCTGTGTTACTTACCTCAAAAAAGCAACAGGTATTGTAATCTGTAATTGTAGTCGCTATATCTATATACATGAGTGTGAATTTGATTTATACAAGCACTTCTTAATTAAAACAATCTTGTAAACAAATGTCTAGTTTTACATCCTACCCCTTTAATCTACTTCTAGGCTATTCAGTCCTCAGTAGCTTTAATGATAACTACCCCCACCCCTAAGAAAAAACTTGGACAGCAGCCAAATTGGCCTATATCACCATTGCCAACTGGAGGCCCACAAGAGGAGTCAGCTGACTCTTTTTTCCCCTGGTTAATCGTGGACAATCAAGCTCATCATGGCTCCCCTCCCCGCACCATTCTTGTACAGTTATTTACTCTTTAGTGATGGCTTTTTACATATATACACATAAATCTTCTTTAACTTCTCTCCTTTTTCTTTTGCCTCCAATCAGTATTCATTTGAGCATCAGAAAACTATGTTTGCAAGTTAAGTGATTCTCAGATGCCAGTTCATCTGAAGAGTTTTTTCAAAGGTCATGGCATATTACTGAGCAACAGTATAGAAAGTGATTGTCTTTTTTTTTTTTTTTTTTTTTGCGGTACGTGGGTCTCTCACTGTTGTGGCCTCTCCCGTTGCGGAGCACAGGCTCCGGACGCACAGGCTCAGTGGCCATGGCTCACGGGCCCAGCCGCTTCGCGGCACGTGGGATCCTCCCGGACCGGGGCACGAACCCGTGTGCCCTGCATCGGCAGGCGGACTCTCAACCACTGCGCCACCAGGGAAGCCCAGTGCTTGTCTTTTGAGGTTGAACTAAGCCTTCTTTAATTTACAGGAGAATAATACGTAAAACAGTCAAAGCTGAGGTAATTATATATATATTTTTTACCTAGATGAATATCCAGCAGAATGAGACCTTTTTGTTGTTCTGTACTGTCTTACACATGACAAGTCTTCTTACAACCTGGTTCCCACCTTCTAAATGTCCTTCAACACCCCCCCCCCCAGCTCATTGTGTAAACCCAATCCCACCCTCACTGAGAACCACTGAACAGCCTTTGCAAGAATGACTGTAAAGGTAGTAGAGAATATATTTGTTAGATTTATTTATCTATTTTTTATTACTATTATATTGCTTGAGATTTAAGAAGTTTGATTCAGTTCAGAGTGTGGCTCCTCTTCTTTGCAAGAGATCATTTAAAAGGCTGTTCAGAAATGTCACAAGGAAAAACAAAAACAAAACAAAACAAAAAAACAAATGTCACAAGGAAGGCTGCCACTATGTACCTGATGAGTATAAATGAAGTATGTTTTCATTTACATGAGAGATTATTTTTGTACTTCTCATGAGGGAAAATTTGAAGGAAAATGTGGCCTTAGAATATGTCCTTTAAATATAATTAGGCTCTGGATAGACTGAAGGGAAGAACGTTCTAGATTAGAGCAAAGCCATGGAAATGTTAATGAGCACACTGTTTGGAGGAATCTTGAATAGACTGGTCAGGGACTGGCAAAGTATAATACTATAGTGAAGTACTAGGATTTTAAGAATGTGTTGAGAGATAAGATTGGAAAAATACTGCAACTGGTTTATTGAGGAATTGCAACTATGAGGTATAAACATGAAATGCTCACATCCCCTCCACTTCCCTCTGAGGTGCAATCCTTCAATAATGTCTTGGTTTGATGTCATAACTCTTCTGCTGCCACTTTTGATAACCAGAAAAAACTTATTCCAGAAATTAAGACAGGTTTCATTCGCTTACAAAACAAAAGCAACAAAAAATGTTAGTCATAAACTCTATCATCTCCCTAAAGAAGTGTTGAAGCTGTTAGTTCCCAGCTGCTTGGATTAAAGAAGAGGTGTAATTTGGCTCTAAAATATGTTCCCTCTCCTTTCTCTAACTAGCCCTTTTGGAGTTGGGGGAAGAAAACCAGCCAGTGGAGGCAGAGTTCTCACTCTCTGAAACTTTAAAGAGGGAAGAGATAGCTCTGGCCTTACTCTGGTCCATCTGGTTGTATTTGATGGTGGTCTCTGGAGGTGGTATGTGTGGATTTCTGGGGGGCAGTGTTGTAGCTCCCTGGACCCTTGTGTCACTGAGGACTTGCTTCATAGGGCAGCTCCTGTTCCCCTTTGGCAGAGCCAATGTAGTATACTCTTCAACCCCTTCTCTGGATTGGGTGACACAGGAGGGAGGAATGGAGTGAGACTGAGAAACCAACAATTCAGTGTTCCAGGTAGGAAGTTATCAGGCCTGGGTTGGGTTGCAGGTTGGGGACAGTGACAGTAGAAAGGAGGGTATAATTGCAGGAGACATGAAATTAGTAAAAGAATATGAGGCTAAAGGAAAGGAAGGAGTCATGACTAAGAAAAATGATACCATTGACAGAAATAAAGAAAAGATTATCTGGGGGTACTCAATTTTAGAAGCTATTGTTATGATTTTGGATTTAACCATTTTTGAGTTGAGCCATTGGAAATGCCTCTATTCATTTGAGATTTTATTTTATGTAGAGATAGAGTGAAGACAAAGAGATTCATTATCTGTAACTCAAGAGCACAGGAATGAAAATAATTAAAGTGGGCATCAACTGTGAGTTTTTGGTTTAAGTTATCAAAGTGGATGAATTCTGGGAAGGAAAATAAAGTTGAGGACTGAACCCTGGGGAATATGAAAGCTGGATGAGAAGATAACGATTGTTTGCGTAATGCTTTTCTGTTCGCAAAGCATGGTGCACAGGCAAGAGCCTTAAGAGTTCTCAAATGAGAGGTGTTTTTCACTTGCTATCTATGCTGGAGAGTCACAATGCCTTCATAGACTCATTCTCTTTTAAATAGATTCTTTATCTGCTTTCCATTACATTTGGTCAGCTCTGAATTTGACTTCAGTAGATATCACATAGCATTGACTAGTTATGATGTTTCTAAATTAAGATTTCAAATTCAGCAGCAACTCGTTCACAAGTTGTATCTTGAAATTAGTTACTTTGAGGAAGGTAACGTAGGCGGCTAATGTCCCTGTTTGAGAATTACTTTGTCCTAGATTTGGAATACAGCATACTCACAAGGCTTTTTGTTACTGCATTTATTTGTATTGCCTAAACCAAACCTTTATTGCTAGTGTGGACTTTGTCTTAGTATGCGATATATGCAGCAAGATAATAATGATAATTTGTTTGATTGTTTGGAAATATGTTTTACAGGTAGGTAATTTATAGTATTAAGGCCAACGTCTGTATTAGTCGATGCCAGAGTATTCAACAAACAAGGTGGTTTTCTTTTCCTTTCTTAGAATTATTCTTCCCATTTTCTGCGTTCCTAGTCCTCAAATACTGCTTTTCTCATATTACTTCTTGCTTTAATTTCACAATTATTTGAAAACCTAGTATGTGCTAGAAATTCTATGGTATAATCAAGTATACAAGTCTGTCATGATTTATCGTCCTTCTTAACAACCTTCACTCCTGCATATCATTCTGAGGATTCTACCTGACCATCTTCTCTTACCCTTTTTCACCATCCTCTGACCACCACCTTCACCACAGACCAACGTAAACATGTATCTTTCTTTTATTCAAATATTAGTCTTTCTGTTTTCCATTTATACCTTACATCTGGAAGTATTTTTTCCCTAGTTTCTTTCAAAACTATGATCTGCCCACATTTTTATCCAACCTCACATGACTCCAGTACATGCTTGGTTGATGTCTGACAAAAGAAGTTGACAATTCTTCTTCATCAAGATTGCTGGAATGTTTTTATATTTCTGTCTCAGGATAATTTTTAAAGTTGACTAATTTTCAGAAAATAGCTAGATTAGTAACCCTCATAAACAGCATAAAATATTGTTGAATTAGTTTTGTAAATGTTTCTTTTATGACCTAAGCAATGTATATGAGGTCCATTTGAGTTGTACTGAACATTGTGTGTTCTTGACGAGAATGTTTGGAAATCGCCATGGTACTTCCTGCAACCCTGGGTGAAAAATGAATTCCTGTCAAGGATCCTTTACACCCTGACTTCTTTCAGCTCAGCTCTAGGTGTCTGGACTATAGGTAGCTGTGTTTTGTTATTGTTTAGTTTTCCTTTTGCAGTAAATATCATTGTTAATGTACATTGTTTTATTATCTTGATTTGTAATTTCTTGCCTCGTGTTTTCATTACTATCTTATTTCCCCAATAGTTTCTTACAAATTCTTTAGGTAGTCTTTTTCCCTTTGTGGAGCTGAAGGAATTCTAAACAATTCTTGGGCACTAATCTTCCTGTTATTAGTATCATTCCATACCCAACGTCTTATGGGGGTGATTGGGGAATGCCAAACTGCAACTGAAGTGAAGTTGTAGGACTGGACTGAAGGAGAAAAGAGAATGAGCCTTTGTAGCACCTGACTGGTTGTGGCTCACGTGGGTCAGCTGTTATATTCTTCCCCCCACCCCCACCCAAGGAAAGAATTTTTAAAGAATTATTAGTGGTAAAATGTGCGGCCTTAGATTTTCCACATCATGGAATGTGTGCAAATATATATGGGGTCTTGGTTTAAAAAAACTTTTTTAAAAAAAGTTTATGTTTTGACTTTCTCAGATGTAAAACGAAGATCAGGAACAGCTTTGAAGAGATGCAAAGTGAATTGGTGCCAGTCAGCATGTCAGAAACAGAGCACATAGCCTCCATTTCCTCTGATCAAAATATTGAGAAAACATCTGAAATAAAGGAAGACTCATGCAATTCGTTTTCTGGTGATGAAAATAGCAGCTTAGAAAATGAGTCCAAACTGTTGTCATTAAAGTTTGATAAAACTTTATGTCAGCCTAGTGAACACAATAATCAAACTGAAACACAGGAGAATTATATTCCAGATCATGGTGGAGGTGAGGATTCCTGTGCTAAAACAGACATATGCCCAGAAAATTCTGAACAAATAGCTAATTTTCCTGGTGGAGATTTTACAAAGCAAGTTTTGAAAACAAATGAAGCAGAACAAACAGTAACACAAATATTGGCGGAATTAAGGTCATCTACATTTACAGAAGCAGCTAATCAAAAGACCTATTCAGAAAGTCCTTATGATACAGACTGCACCAAGAAACTTATTTCAAAAATGAAGAATGTTTCAACATCAGAGGATTTGTTGGAAGAAATAGAATCTGAGCTCTTATCTACTGAGTTTGCAAAAGAACACCGACTACCAAATGGAATGAATAAGGGAGAAAATGCATTAGTTATGTTTGAAAAGTGTGTGCAAGATAAGCATTTGCAGCAGGAGCATACCATAAAGAAGTAAGTGTTTTATTCTTTCAGGTTATTTTTTTCCACAGGGATTAAAGATTGAATTCTTTAAAGGAAGGTATCATTTTATCTACTTTTATTTCCACAATAGAGCCATGCACATGGTAGTTGAGCAGATGTCAAGTTTGCCTAGTTATTTAATATATAACTCTGTTTTTTCTTAGAATGTGGTATTGTATTTTCATTATTTTAGAAATAATAGGTAAACAGTGTTTTTATGAGAGTTATATATAATATACCTATGTCAAATACGTTAGCATATATGGAAACATGTATCTATGTATAAAGGCACTGTTTTGAATATGATTCAAAATTTCTGTTTTACATATGTCTTAGTGTATAAGTTTAAAAGAATAAATGTTTTATTAAAGTGTTAGTTTATTAAAGATCTAGAAAGATTTATAAAGAGAAATAAATTTATATTCTTTCAAATTTTTCAGTTTTGAAAGAATGTAAAGCATAATGTCAGAATTAAGATAAATTCAAGAGGAATGACAAGTTATAAAATTCAAAAAATTTTCTTAAAATTCCCACTGTAAATTCATTGGTTTAAAAAATTAAAATTAGAACAGAAGAATTGGTTTAGTGTCATTCAGTAAATAAGAACATAGTTATTTTTAGACTTCTCTTGGATTTATGGAGTTAATTTCTATTTTAACAACAGTTTAATTTCATTTTATCTTTTCCTAATAATATTATATCACTCTTTGTTTTAGATTTATATATGTGAGTGATGCATATGTTTAGGTACTCCTATAACCTTTAATAAAGGAAAATAAAACTTGCTAGCCTTCACTAAAATACAGACAGATTCTCTTTTTAAAAAAGTGATACTTTAAAAAAATTTTTGGAATGGTAAAAAAATTTTTGGAATGGGAGGGGTGTGTGTAGAGAAAGGGGAGGAGGAAATCTACACGCTAGAGGAGGATGACAGAGGAAAATATACCATAATCCAAATATTGCTTGATATGCAATTGACTTTTAATGATCTCCTTGCTTCTAGTATTTACTCTTCCAGATTATCAGTAGATCAGTCTTCCCCAAGCCAGCTCACCCTTCATTGGTTTACCCAATGAATTTTAATCTCAGCATCCAGAGCCCTTCTTTTTTCTATTTTTTTATTTTTCAATTGTGATAAAATACACATAACATAAAATTTACCATCTTAAACATTTTTAAATGTGTGCAGTTTGGTAGTGTTAAGTATATTCACATTATTGTACAACCGATCTCCATAGCTTTTTCATCTTACAAATCTGAAATTCTATACCTATTAAACAACAGCTCCCTGTTTCCCCCTGCCCCAGCCCCTGGTAACCACCATTCTACTTTGTTTCTAAGAGTTTAACTGCTTTTGATACTATTTGCCGTTTTGTGACTGGCTTATTTCACTTAGCAGATGTCCTCAAGTTTCATCCATATTGTAGCCTGTGTCAGAGCTTCCTTCCTTTTTAGGGTTGAATAATATTCCATTGTATGTATACATACCACATTTTGTTATCTGTTCATCCATCAGTGGACATTTGGGTTGCTTCTACATTTTGGCTAGTGTGAATAACGTTGCTGTTAACATGAGTGTACAAATATCTCTTGAGAATCTAATACCTTTCTTAATACTATGCAAAAACCAATGTCAGCTACTCCTGCTTATAACTTTACTGGAATGCTGCTATTATTGAAAAAAGTGTGATTTTATACTTGAACCATCAGTATTTCTGCCATTCTTGCTTTTTAGGGTAACTTCCTCATTTTCCTGTTATCTGTGCTTACCTCTTAGACCTTCCCTTTGAGATCATCCTTGATGCCTCTACTTTCCTTAGATTTGGAGACTTAACCACTTTCAAGCTTCTCTTGTAAATTATAAGATGTTACAGATTTAATAATAATATCAGGAACACTTAAATGCTGTTAATTATGTGCCTGGCACTTTACATGTATTAACTCATGGAATCCTCACAACAACCCTATGTGGTATGAACTATTATTATTCCCATTTTACAGATGAGGTACTTGAAGCACAGAGAGGTTAAGTAACTTGCTTCAGGTCACATGCTAGTAAATGGCAAAGTTAAACCCAATTAGTCTGGCTTCAGTGGATTTTTTTAATGTGGTTATCTGAAATGAACAAGTTACATGTTATTAAATTTATCTAAAAACATTAGGAATACAATAGAAAATTAATTCCTCTTTTGTTCCGTCATGTCCGAACAGTGGCCACATGGTAGACTGGGGTGAGCACAGTTCTGGTCAGAAGCCCAGAGTTGGAAGATTCCCATTACCACTTGCACGCTCTGTTTCCTTAGTTAAATCAACCTCTCCAAGACGAAGATTTTTTCATCTTTATGAGGGGACAATACTTACCTGATGGGATTGTTTTGAGGACATTAAAGCATTATAAAAATGTCAAATATTATTTTAAATCTAAGTTAATTTTTTGTTATACATGTAATTTTTTTTTTTTTTTTTGCGGTACGCGGGCCTCTCACGGTTGTGGCCTCTCCCGTTGCGGAGCACAGGCTCCAGACATGCAGGCTCAGCGGCCATGGCTCATGGGCCCAGCCGCTCCGCGGCACGTGGGATCCTCCCGGACCGGGGCACGAACCTGTGTCCTCTGCATCGGCAGGCGGACTCTCAACCACTGTGCCACCAGGGAAACCCATACATGTAATATTTTAAATTTCAAATAAAATGCTTTGTGATTAAGGTTAGCTCTAAAACAACTCATTTTTTTTCTTTTGCCTTCATTTAATTTTCTGTAAAGAAAACTACCTTTCAGTTCCTTTGGCTTAAATTTTCATGAATGCATCTATTTCCAAATGGCTTTGTTTATACATCCATTCCTCTATTTTCTAACATCAATATTATTGTCCAAGGTCCCAACCAGAATTCTTAATTAAGAACAGTTATTTGTGTACAGGATATGCATTTGGCATGTAAGAATAACAATTTCAGGGCTTGCTGTTCTTCACTTCTCCCTCCCTAAATTGTTTACTTTCGAGGTATAGTCAGGATTCTTGTGTTTCAGATTGTTTTTCGCAACAAATTGAGTGTACACCTTAATCATGTACATAAACAAAGTTAAACCCCTGTGCCATAAAAGGCTTGAAGAAACTTGCATGCTACACATTTTTTTCTTTTCCCAAACATTTTCATGACTTTCCTCCTCACTGCATTACTGTCCTCCTCAGAGAGGTCTGTCCCGGTTACCTTATGTACAATCACAGCTCAAGTCACTCTCCCTGTCCTCTTGCCCTCCTTTAGTTTTCTTAATAGAACTTAATCACAACTTGGTATTTCATTATATATCTATTTATTGTTTAATTTCTCTGTTAGAATGTAAGCATCATGAGGGCAGGGACAGTTTGCTGATGTACCCCCAACATATAGACTAATATAGGTACATAGTAGGTACCCAGTGAGCATTTGTTGAGTAAATGAGGGATCTTCAAAGGAGAAGATGGCAAGGAATTAGACCTGGGTCCAAATCTCAGTTCAACCGCTTACTAGCTATATAACCTGGAATAAGTTCTAGGCTTCAGTTTTCGTTTGTTTTCAAATTCATAAAGCATAATAATAATTTCATAGACTTATTAATTTATAGACCTGAGTGTTAAATAATGCATTTAAAGCTAAACTTAGTAAATAGTAATTGTGCAATAAATGTCAAATAATAGCTGTTGCTAGTAATCCTAAAATATTAGCTGTTAACCCTCTTAGGTATCTTACTTTATAGTTCTGAGTACTTTTACAGGTAATTTTTAAGGTTTTATTTATATTTTTCTAGGGAACTCAAAATGAAATTTCTGCTTAAACTTTATTATTTTACATAGACTACTTTTGTAACTATAAGAATATCATTAAAATATTTTAGAAATCTAAAGCAAGATTTCTCAACCACAGCACATATGTCAACATATGGGGGCAGATCATTTTTTGTTGATGCTGGGGCTATCCTGTGCATTGTAGGATGTTTAGCAGCATCCCTGTCTCTGTGCACAAGAAGCCAGTAGCAACCCTCACCACTGTAGTGGCTACCAAAAAGTTTCTCCAGACAGATGCCTGGAGGGGAAAAATTGCCCCTGGTTGCCACTGACTGACCTGAAGGAATTCCAGTGCTGAAGGGATGAACTACATAATTCATAAGACTGTAGACATAAACTTAAAAGTGTGTGGTTTTCTTTATCTGATTATATTTCTCTTAATTTGAAATAATACAAATTTCTAGGAAAAAGTTAATAGCCTGACTGGCCAGAGAATGTTTTGTAAAGTATAATATATCATTACAAAAGGACTACTTGGGAATTTTCATTTCTTAATCATAGGTATGTACACCCTAGTCTGCAAACAGATTATATTACACATTGTCATTTTTAATTATGTTTTACTGATACTGCCTTTTTATATTTAGGTTAATTAAAGAAAATAAGAAGCATCAGGAGCTTATCTTAGACATTTGTTCAGAAAAAGACAATTTAAGAGAAGAACTAAAAAAAAGAACAGAAACAGAGAAGCAGCATATGAACACAATTAAACAGGTAAAAAGACAAAAATCTTTAAAGTCTGTTCTTCAATATATAAAATAAATACATTCCTGAATATTTGTGTGTAAATTGAAGTTCTGTCAGTTAAATCATACTTTAAATGCAGAAGATTGCTTGGTATGTGAAGCATTCTCTTTTATGAACTGGGAATCATAGTTGATCTTTCTGTTTTATATAAATTAATATTTCTATGTGATATGTGTGACTGTATTCTATATATAATAGAAATCTGAGTGGGAAAGACTATTTGTTTGGCAGTCAAATAGATTGTTTTGGAAGAAGCAGTATATACTTAAAAGTTTATATCTGGCGTTAGAATGTTTTCAAGCTTATAGTTTAATATGTTTCCATTCTCAGTATTTTGTGAACTATACTGAAGACTGGCTCTCTTCAGACTTTATCTGGTGAGCTAGCTTCCCCAGCCTTGCCTTTTCTTTCTTTGTTTCTTTTTTTTTCTTTCTTTGTTTCTTTTCTTTTTTTTAAATGTACTGTGATGCTTGGATTGACAAAGTTCATCTTTGTTTCTTTTTGTTTTTCTTTCTCTGTTTTTTTTTTTTAATGTACTGTGATGCTTGGATTGACAAAGTTCATATTCAAGACTGGTAGCAAAGCTCAGCTGCTCTTTATCTTTCTGAGCTGCTTTTTCTTCTGTGGGAAGGATTAGAAACATTGTAGCCTTAAAAGTCTTTCTTTTTGCCTCATCTTTCACAGAAAGCTATATAATGAAAATAAAAGTAAACAGCTGGTAGTAATATAATAAAAAACCAAGTTTCACTTATCTATGCCTTGGTATACTTAATGAACCTTTACATAGTTGGAAGGTGACCATATTTGTAAAATTTTACATATTTAATCCTGATTTTTGTGTGGAAAGGGCTACTGCATGCAGACCAAACTTAGAATTTTAAAGTGTGAAGGTGCCTTAATAGTAGCCTGAATCTATATTTTGGTAGGCAGGTCACTGCTGATGACCGGAAACTTCAGACTAAATAGATGGAGGTGAACCAGAGCTGTTCTTTTCATGAGCTTGTTAGTGGTTGTGCCTTTTTAAAAGAGAAAATTCGATTCACCATTCTTTTGCTAGCCAGTATAGCAGAGTTTTCTTTCCTAATTTTATCTGTGAATCTGCACCACTTAATATGGCAGCCACTAGCCATAGTGCTATTGAGCACTAAAAGGTGGCTAGTCCAAATTAAGAGGTGATGTAAGTGTGAAATACACACTTAATTTCAAAGACTTAGTACAAAAAAAGATAAAATGGCTCAGTTTTTCATGTTGATTACACGTTGATATGATATTTATAGGGTTTAATAAAACATTTATTTCACCTGTTTCTTTTTGCTTTTTAAAATGTGGCTACTAAAAAATTGTGGCTTAGGGGCTTCCCTGGTGGTGCAGTGGTTGAGAGTCTGCCTGCCAATGCAGGGGACACGGGTTCGTGCCCCGGTCCGGCAGGATCCCACATGCCGCGGAGCGGCTGGGCCCGTGAGCCATGGCCGCTGAGCCTGAGCGTCCGGAGCCTGTGCTCCACAATGGGAGAGGCCACAACAGTGAGAGGCCCGCGTACAGCAAAAATGAAAAAAAAAAAAATTGTGGCTTATATTTCTATTGGACAGTGTTGCTCTAAATAATTTTGTCATAAGGATAATTAGTAAACATGTACTATATGTAAACTAATATTTAGGGTTTTTTATAACAGCTTTTTGAGATATAATTCACATACCATATAATTCACTTATTTCAGTATACAGTTCAGTGGTTTTTAGTTGTGCAGGGTTTGTCACAATTTTAGAAAATTTTATCATACAAAAAACTCTGAATCCATTAGTAGTCACTCCTCATTTCCCTCCAACCCCTTGCAGCTGTCTCCCCCCAGCCCTAGGGAACAACTAATCTACTTTCTGTCTCTCTATATATTTGCCAATTCTGAACATTTCATATAAATGGAATCCTATAATATGTGTCCTTTTCCTTCACATAAGTGGAATCATATAATATCTGGCTTCTTTCACTTAGTGTAATGTTTTCAAGGTTTCAATCAAATTGTAGCTTGTATCAGTACTTAAATTAATGGCCAAGTGATATTCTGTTGTATAGGTATACAACATTTTATTTATCCTTTCATCATCTGATGGATATTTGGGTTGTTTGCACTTTCTGGCTATTATTAATAATGCTGCGATGTAGAAGTTTTTGTGTGGACATATGCTTTCATTTCTTTTGGGTGTCTACCTAGGAGTGGAATTGTTGGGTCAAATGATAACTCTATGTTTAACTTACTGAGGAGCTGGCAGACTGTTTTCCAAAGTGGCTGCACCATTTTATATTCCTACCAGCAGTGTATGAGGGTTTCATTTTCTCCACATCCTTGCCAATGCTTGTTATTATTGGACTTCTTTATTATAGCCATCCTAATGGTTGTGAAATGGTATCTCGTGATTTTGATATGCATTTCCTTAATCACCAATGAAATTACACATCTTTTCCTGTGCTTCTTGGCCATTTGTATATCTTAAATAGATACTTCTAGGGAAGTATTTTCTCTACCCATTTTTAAACTTTTTTATTGTTGAGTAGTGATAGTTCTTTTTATATTCTGGATTATAAACCTTTATCAGATATATGATTTGCAAATATTTCCTCCCATTCTGTGGATTTGTTTTCACTTTCTTGATAGTGTACTTGGACAAAAGTTTTAAATTTTGATGATGTCCAGTTTTATCTATTTTTTCTTTTAATTGCTTGTGCAGTTGGTGTCATATGTAAGACTCCATTGGCAAATCCACGATCATGAAGATTTACTCCTATGTTTTCCTCTAAGAGTTTTATAATTAGGCTTTTATATTTAGGTCTTGATTCTTTTTGAATTAATTTTTTTTATATTGTATGATATACAACTTCATTCTTTTGTATATGGCTATCCAGTTGTCCCAGAACCATTTATTAAAAAGAGTATTCTTCCTCTATTGAATGGTCTTGGCATCCCTGTTGAAAACCAATTGATACATCAACTTATTTCTAGACTCTCAGTTGTTTCATTGATCTATTTGTCTTTCATTATGCTAATACCACACTATCTTGATTTCTGTTGTTTTGCAGTAAGTTTTGACATTGGGAAGTGTGAGTTCTCAAATTTTGTTCTTCTTTTCCAAGATAGTCTATTCTCAGTTTCTTGTATTTCCATATGAATCTTACTATCAACTTGTCATTCTACAGTGAAGCCAACTGGGTTTGTTAGGGATTGCATTGAATCTGTAGACTTCATTTGGAGAGTATTGCCATTTTAACAATATTATGTTTTTCAATTCACAAACAAGGGATATCCTCCCATTTATTTAGATCTTTAATTTCTTTCTAAAGTGCTCTGTAGTTTTCGGAGTAATTTTTGCAATTCCTTCATTAAATTTATTCCTAGGTGGTTTATTCTTTTTGATGCTGTTGTAAATGGAGTTGTTTTCTTAATTTCATTTTCAGATTGTTAATTACAAGTGTATATAAAACTTTATTTATTTTGCTGCATTGACTCTTCGTTGCTGCATGCAGGCCTTCTCTAGTTGTGGCAAGCGGGGGCTACTCTTTGTTGTGGTGCGTGGGCTTCTCATTGCGGTGGCTTCTCTTGTTGTGGAGCATGGGCTCTAGGTGTGCAGGCTTCAGTAGTTGTGGGTTGTGGGCTCTAGAGCACAGGCTCAGAAGTTGTGGCGCATGGCTTAGTTGTTCCGCAGCATGTGGGATCTTCCCGGACCAGGGCTTGAACCCGTGTCCCCTGCATTGGCAGGTGGATTCTTAACCACTGCGCCACCAGGGAAGTCCCAACAATTTTTTTATATTATATTCTGTAACTTGGCTGTACTTGTTTATTAGTTCTAAAATTTTTTGGCAGATTTCTTAGGATTTTCCATATATAAAATCATGTCATCTGCATGTAGAGAGTTTTACTTCTTCCTTTCTCATCTGAGTGCTTTTTATTTCATCTCCTGCCTGATTTCCCTGGCTGGACCCTCCAATACAATGTTGAGTAGAAGTGGCAAGAGTAGATATCCTTCTCTCATTTCTGAAGCATTGTCTTTCACCACTAAGTACGGTGTTAGCTAGCTGTCGGCTTTTCATAGATGCTATCAGGTTGAAGAAGTTCCTTTTTATTCCTAGTTTGTTGAGTATTTTTATCATGAAAGAGTGTTGAATTTTACCAAATGCTTTTTCTACATCTGTTGAGATGATTATGTGTTTTTTGTTCTGTCGATATGGTGTATTACATTAACTGATTTTTGGATATTAAACCAACATAGTTTTACTGTGATAAATCCCTTTTGGTCATGGAGTATAATTCTTATATATTGCAGAATTTTTTGCTAGTATTTTGTTGAGAATTTTTCTGCCTATATTCATAAGAGCTATTGCTCTTGTAGCTTTCTTTTCTTGTGAGGTCTTTGTTTGGTTTTGGTGCAGCATAGTACTGACTTCATAGATCGAGTTGGGAAGTGTTCCTTTTTTTGGGGGGGACAATTTGTGAAGAATTAGTATTAATTATTTAAATGTTTGGTAGAATATACCTATGTAGTCACCTGGACCTGAATTTTTCTTTGTGGGTAGTTAAAAATTTTTTTTTTTTACTAATTTAATCTCTTATTACAAGCATGCCTTTTTTAAAATTGCACTTCACCATATTGCACTTCATAAGATATTGTGGTTTTTACAAATTGAAGATTTGTGGCAACCTGTGTTGTCAGATGGTGGTTAGCATTTTTTAGCAATAAAGTATTTTTTAATTAAGGTATGTACAGATTTTTTAGACATAATGCTGTTGCACACTTAAAAGACTACAATATAGTGTATACATAAATTTAATATGCACTGAGAAACCAAAAAATTTGTGTGACTTGCTTTATTGCAGTACTTGCTTTATTACAGTGGTCTGGACTAAACAAGTATCTCTTGAGATATGCCTGTGTAGGTCTATACAGATTTTCTATTTCTTCTTGAGCCAGTTTTGGTAGTTTGTGTCTTTCTAGGAATTGTGCATTTAATCTAAGTTAAATTGTTCATAATATTCATTCATAATTATTTATTTCTGTAAATTTCATTTATTTCTGTAAGGTCAGTATGTCCCTCTTTCATTTTGATTCTTGTGATCAATCTAGCTAAAAGTTTGTCAGTTTTGTTGATCATTTCAAAGAAGCATTTTTTGTTTTGTTGATTTTTCTCCATTTTCCTATTCTCTATTTCATTACTTTCCTCTCTAATCTTCATTATTTCCTTTTTCTTACCGGTTTTAGATTTAGTTTGCTCTTTTTTTTTTTTCCCAGTGTCTTAAGATGAAAGTTTAGTTTTGATTTGAGACCTTTCTTGTTTTTCAATAGTGATGTTTATAACTACGAATTTCCCTCTAAACACTGCTTTAGCTGCATCCCATAAATATGTTGTATCTTTATTTGTCACCTTATTTTCTACTTTCTCTTTGATTTCTCCCTTGGTCATTTAGATGTTGTTTAATTTTTACATATTTATGAATTGTCAAGTTTCTCTCTGTGTTACTGAGTTCTAATTTCATTCCATTATGGTTGTCAAAGGAAGATACTTTGTGCGATTTCAGTGTTTTAAATTTATTGAGATTTGCTTTAAGACCTAGCATAGGTTCTGTCCTGAAGAATATTTCACGTTCACTTGAGGAGTAGGTGTATTCTGCTGTTGCTGAATGGAATGTTGTATAGATGTGTTAGATTTAGTTGTTACATAGTTGTGTTCAAGTCTCCTATTTCCTTGTTAATCTTCTTTCTAGTTCTGTTCATTACTAAAAGTGAGGTATTGAAGTCTCCAACTATTATTATTGAATTGTCCACTTCCTTCTTCATTTCTGTCAGTTATTGATTCATGTATTTTGGTGCTATATTACTAGGTGCATGTATATTTATAATTACCATACCTTTCTGCTGGATTGACCCTTTTATCATTATGAGATGAATCTAAAGTACCTTATTTTTTTTTTTTTTTTGGCTGTGCCGCGTGACTTGTGGGATCTTAGTTCTCCAACCAGGGATTGAACCCGCGCCCTCGGCAGTGAAAGCACAGAGTCCTAACCACTGGACTGACAGGGAATCCCCTAAAGTACCTTTGTAAACAGCATTTTGGTTTTTATTCCAGTCTGGATCTTGTTTTCTATTCCAGTCTGAAGATCTCTGCCTTTTGATATGATTATTTACTCTCATTTAATGTTACTATTGACAGTTCGATTTTTGTCTACCATTTTTTAATTTTCTATATCTGTATTTTCTATATGTCTTTCTGTATGTTTCTGTTTTGTTTCCCTGTGTCTCATTTACTGCTTTATTTTGCATTAAGTAAATATGTAACATTAAAATTTTTTTCATGGTATTTTCTGAATTATTTCATTGGTAATTACTCTAGAGCTTATCATCCATCTTATCAGAATCTGCTTCAGATTTATTCTGACTTAATTCTATTGATATATCAGAACATTGCTAACATTTACTTTTGATTTCTATGGCTGAAGTATATTCATTGCCATCTTTATGCTTGTTTACATTGTTTATATTTATTTGAAATATTGGTGGTCTGTTTGTTATAACTATAAAAATAATCTGGAAATAATTTTCTTTACAGTTAGAATCAAGAATAGAGGAACTTAATAAAGAAGTTCAAGCTTCCAAAGATAAAGTACTAGCTCAAGACATTGCAACTAAAAATGCAATTCAGCAATTACACAAAGAGATGGCCCATCGGATGGAACAGGTATTTTTCAAGGCATTATTATTATTAACTTTCTGATGATTCTTTGTATATTAAGTAACCTTTTAGACAGTTTTGGACATTAGTGTGTATTAGGATTAGGATTTTAAAAATGCTAAAGCAGGGGGCTTCCCTGGTGGCACAGTGGTTGAGAGTCCGCCTGCCGATGCAGGGGACACGGGTTCATGCCCCGGTCTGGGAAGATCCCACATGCCGCGGAGTGGCTGGGTGCGCGAGTCATGGCCGCTGGGCCTGCGCGTCCGGAGCACTTGCTCTGCAACGGGAGAGGCCACAGCAGTGAGAGGCCCGCGTACTGCAAAAAAAAAGAAAAAAAAAAAGCTAAAGCAATACATAAATGCACGCTAACAACAAAAAACTTCAACCTTTATTCCTGTGATTCTTTACAATATGCTTACCCTGAGCATTACGAATGTTATATATTTAAAATTTACACTATCAGTTCTCAAACCTTTTATACTAATTAAAGAGAAATGTAGAAGATAAGACATTAAGAAGTTGTTGGTTTTAGTGGACCCAAACATAGCTTCATTAGAATAACTTAGTGAGCTTTAAAAATATATATATTCTTGGGGACTTCCCTGGTGGCGCAGTGGTTAAGAATCCGCCTGCCAACGCAGGGGACACGGGTTTGATCCCTGGTCCGGGAAGATTCCCCCATGCCGTGGAGCAAATAAGCCCATACACCACAACTACTGAGCCTGCGCTCTAGAGCCTCCGAGCCACAACTGCTGAAGCCTGTGCACCTAGATCCCGTGCTCTGCAACAAGAGAAGCCACCACAATGAGAAGCCCAGGCACTGCAACAAAGAGTAGCCCCCGCTCTCCGCAACTAGAGAAAAGCCCGCACACAGCAACAAAGATCCAGTGCAGCCCAAAATAAATAAATTTATAAGAGAAGAAATGTGTGTGTGTGTGTGTGTGTGTGTATATATATATATATTCTTGGGGACTTCCCTGGTGATGCAGTGGTTAAGAATCCACTTGCCAGTGCAGGGGACACAGGTTCGAGCCTTGGTCCGGGAAGATCCCACATGCCACAGAGCAACTAAGCCCATGCGCCACAACTACTGAGCCTGCGCTCTAGAGCCCATGAGCCACAACTACTGAGCCCATGTGCCACAACTACTGAAGCCCACGCAGCTAGAGCCTGTGCTCCGCAACAAGAGAAGCCACCGCAATGAGAAGCCCGCGCACCGCAACGAAGAGTAGCCCCCGTTTGTCGCGTCTAAAGTCTGCACGCAACAACAAAGACCCAACGCAGCCATAAATAAATAAATAAATTTAAAGATTTATATATATTCTTTGGAATTATATTTTAAAATAGAAACAAAATGATAGTAAAATGTGCACAATAACAATTCAAACAGTAAAACATGTCTTCTTCCAAACTTTTTCTCCCACTCCGCACCCTTCCCAGAGGCAACCATTGATGCCAGTTTCCTGTATATATCCTTCTCAGAATATTTGTTGCATGGACAAGCATGTATATATTTCCTTTATTCCTCCCATCCTCCCCCGTTTTTAAACAAGTGGCAACATACTACACTCAGTACTCTGTATCTGTTTCCTCTCTAATGATGAGTGTAGGTGAGGTTAATAATAGTAGCTGAAAACGGTTTACAAATATTCACTTATTTAATATTCAGGATAACCCTAAGAGGTGGGTATTATTATGTAGATTTTGGAGATTGTTCCATTCAGTTGTTTCTAGATTGGCTTCATTCCTTTTCTCCCCTAACTTTTCCTCTCAACTTTTTGATTTGAGAATTTTTAAGCCTGTAGAAAAGGTAAAAGAATAGTAAAATGAACACTTGTTTACCCTTAACCTAGAGTCACCAAACCTGGTGAGTTTTATTTAGAAATAGCTTCCTAGCATGAGTGTGCACATGTTCCTGCACACACATGTGTACACTCCCCAGTTTAATTTTCCAGTTTGAGGTTTCTCCATTTCTCAGAACAGATATGTAGAATGTATCTGAACCTCAAATTTACAGGAGGGTAGAGTTAGTTATAAATTCTTAGGGACTTTGTAGCATGTCTCCCTCAGCCTCACATGACCTCATATTGGTAAGTATTCAGCCCTAACGAAGCATTCTGGATTCCTGCTGCTTCTTAGATTTTTTGGCCCTGAAATTTCCCATACTTTATTTATTTATTTATTTATTTATTTATTCTGTATGCGGGCCTCTCACTGTTGTGGCCTCTCCCGTTGCGGAGCACAGGCTCCGGATGCACAGGCTCAGCAGCCATGGTTCACGGGCACAGCCGCTCTGCGGCATGTGGGATCTTCCTGGACCGGGGCATGAACCCGTCTCCCCTGCATTGGCAGGCGGACTCTCAACCACTGCGCCACCAGGGAAGCCCTCCCATACTTTCTTGTGAGCTCAACTGTGCATTAAAAAAACATTTGTTGTACTTCATCTAAAATTTTAGGTGTTTTGAATGGGGAGGGTTCATCTGCCATACTTGGAGAAGCAGAACTACTTCTACAGTTTATCTTAATTTTAGTTGACTATTGAATCCTATCAACTATGTTATTCATATCTTCATCCAAGTCAATGGTAAACATCTTAAAACTAGTCAAATCCGAAGACTTTTACTGACTCCTCTTTATCTGTGCCGTAATGGACTGACTTTCAATAGAAGCTTAAAGAGTAGTCAATTATCTCATTTGATACTCCCAACAATCTATGAAGTAGGTGCTGCTATTATCTGGGGTGGGATATAGAAATGTGAACTTTTAGCACCCCAGGTTATTCTTTTTTTTTTTTTTAAATAAATCCATTTGTTTTATTTATTTAAATTTTAATTTATTTATTTATTTTTGGCTGTGTCATGTCTTAGTTGCGACATGCGGGCTCTTCATTGCACTGCACGGGCTCCTCTCTAGTTGTGGTACGCAGACTTCTCTAGTTGTGGCACGAGGGCTCCAGAGCGCATGGGCTGTGTAGTTTGCAGCACACGGGTTCTCTAGTTGAGGTATGCGGGCTCAGTAGTTGTGGCGCACGGGCTTAGTTGCCCTGTGGCATGTGGGATCTTAGTTCCCCAACCAGGGATCGAACCTGCATCACCTGCATTGGAAGGCAGATTCTTTACCACTGGATCACCAGGGAAGTCCCACCCCACGTTATTCTTTTGCAGCTGATTCAGGGATGACTCTGGGTAACAGGACATTCTGGTGCATATCCCCTCCTGTAGTTAAGAACCTTGTAATATGTTATCTCATGTATTATAATTTTCTGTTTTCTGCTTCTTATCTCTTTAGTGAAGTTTCCATGTTGCTACCAGGTATCTTTTTAAAACACAATTTAATTTAATAAAATTTAAAACACCTTTTATTAAATCTGTCTTTGGCTTCTCTTTGCCTGTAGGATAAAATCTCAAATCATTAGCATGACAAGAAGAGAAGTCCTTCTTCCTTTCAGGATCTGATCTCTACCTCCTTTTCTGTTTTATAACTACTTCCTCTCCACTGCAATCAACACACCAAATTTAATCACTACAGAATAATTTAATGTCCTCTAAATATATCATGCTATTTTATACTTTTAGGCATTTGAGCCTAAAATAACCACATGATAACCACTCTAGCTTGAATTCCTTTCCTTGACTGATCCCTTTACTGAGTCCTTCAATGTCTAGCTCAAGTGTACCACCTAGTTCAGGTACAAATAGCATCTTTCACCCTTCATGCCAACCCTTCCCAGGGACTGTTAGTATTTTTGTATTTTCAAAGAACTTTGTACATTCATCCACTAGAAATTGTTTCATAATCTTCGTTTATGTGTTGTTCTTACTAGGTAGTGAGCTCTTCCAGGACTTACCATGGCTTATTCTTCATTGTGTTCCCAAAAGCTAATCCATTATCTAAGCATTAAGTTATCATGGAACTGGACTTCTTTTAAAGTTGACATTACCATTAGTTGACTTTTTCTAAGTACAGTTATTCAATTATCTAAAAATCTAGCTAATTCTGTCAGCCAATTCCATCACGGTTTTGTCAATCATTTGTCCACAAGCATGTCATCAGATCCTCAGGGATCTCTGCCATCCCTATTCCAGTGTTTTCTTTAATTTCTCTTGAAAATTAGTAGGCTATTTCAATGGGGGAAAAATCCCAATTGGATGATTTTTTAAAATACTTATATGTATAGTATTTTGAGTGGTTACTCGATGTGCTTATCAGCTGTAGCAGAACTTCATGAAACATTTTTTGTCAGTCACTTTTATCAGAGCATAGGAGGTTTCCCCACATTATCCTAACGCTAAACCTACTTCAATTCAGTTATAGTATTAGTTGGAGTTTACCACTAGATGCCATTGAAGATCCTTAAAGTTTAAGGATCCATCTTCTGTAAAATAAGTATGTGCTTCATCATATTTGCAAACTATGAATTTACTTAAATGAAGGGCTATCTGTAGAAGTTTTCATTGTATGAAATTTCACAGTATGGAGTACCAGCTTATAGTTACAGAGAATTTTAAGTTAGTATATAGATAGATGTCACACCTAATCCAATTAGGTATTTCTTGTTAAAATGCCAAATACTTTTCATACAGAGGAACCCAGTGATCACTAATTAGCATATTACTTACTTTTTTGTGAGGGAGCTAAGATTATAGATTTTAGAAATTGTCAGCCATAGACTCAGGATCCTGACAGAAAACAGAAACTGGTGATTTGGGGAGAATTTCATAAAAGGACTCTTTACAAAGGTATGGGTGAGATTTAGGGAGTCCAACCTGGGAAAATGCAGGATCCTGGGGCTGCTGGAGGAGCCATTATCACTCTTTGGGCTAAAGGAATAAGGAGACGGTGCAGGTAGTACAACCCAGAGAAGGTAGTTGCATAGAGAGGTCACCTGACAGGAAGAGTGTATGATTCTGGAGGAGCCAGATCTCATTCTCTGCCTACCCTCCTAATCTTCTGCTTAGTGCCTCCTGTTGGCCAAACCCAACTGGAAGTATGAGGGCAAAGAAACTTGTTGATATGGTCCCTGATGGTTACTTTCCCAGAGCACAGGGTGGGCTAGGAAAGAGTGGAAAAGTGATCTGAAGGAGTAAGCAGAAAATAGCAACCATATTAGCTAAATGAAAAGGAATAGGAAAGGGAAGAAGCAAATATTAATGATATTAATTTGTTCATTGTATCATTTCTCTTTTTTAAAATTTCATGACACAGGTCCTGAAAATCTTGTGTAAAAGACCAAAAAATACATTGGTGATATTATAGGAAAATATTATTTGTTTTAATTAATTTTTATTTGAAAAATATGTTTTATTAATGCTAGATATTATTTTCAAAGGCCAACAAGAAATGTGAAGAGGCACGCCAGGAAAAAGAAGCAATGGTAATGAAGTATGTAAGAGGCGAGAAGGAATCTTTAGACCTTCGAAAGGAAAAAGAGATACTTGAAAAAAAACTTAGAGATGCAAATAAAGAATATGAGAAAAACACTAACAAAATTAAGCAACTTTCTCAGGAGAAAGGACGGCTGCACCAGCTGTACGAAACAAAGGTATAACTTTTGATATTGTATCTTATTTGAAACTTACTCTCTTTGCTTTTCCTTATTTAATCAAATAATCATAACTTAACATGGTTAAACCACTGTTAAACATAAAGTTTTTCTTAGTTTACCTTCAAAGAATGCTTTAATAATTCCAATATCTTGTTACTTAGCTGCAAAAAGTTTTTCCTATGAAAAGGTAAGAAACTGACATGTTGTTTATTAGATCTTTTTAAAAACTTTCTTTTAAAATCTACATGTTGAAGAAATGACTTTGTGCTTCAAAGGAAGATTTTATTTTGGTGAAAGATATACATGGTGTGTCACAATGTGAGTAGTTTTTGAGCCAGAAGTATACTTTGACCAGAATCTTAATGTAACACTTACTTAGACATCATAGAATTTATATTTTACTTGTAGAAAAACATGTTCTTACATGCTGTCCAAGGAGATTTAATTACTGTGCTATTTAGAATCCTTGCTATTAGCTAGCATCCTCATGGCGTAGTCTTGTGTCCAGTAGGTTATCATTTCTTGGTAATCAATGGTATTTTTTATTAATTAACTTTTAGTTCAGGAATGTTGTCATTGTTCTCAAGAATTCTGGCAAAACCAATTTAATTCATATTTCACCTTAATGTCAGCCAATTGAGAAGAATCAGAAAGGTACGCTTACACTCACAGTGTACTAGTTGGTTAAGATATAAATGTTAATCACCTTATGTCTATTAATTGGTTTTAGGCTTTTACTGTCCTCTTATGAATTGAACTTTAAGTCAGTTTATAGGCCGTAATGTGCTAGCCCTGAATTATAGTGTTATTGCATTGATTATCTTGAGATATAAAAGATACACAAATGATTGGTTGGTTGTTTAAATGAAAAATATGACCTGGTGATATTATTTTAGGAAGGTGAAACTACTAGACTCGTCAGAGAAATAGACAAATTAAAGGAAGATATCAACTCTCAAATCATTAAAGTAAAATGGGCACAAAACAAATTAAAAGCAGAAATGGATTCACACAAGGTGAGTACTGTAATACAGTGGAAAAATTATTAGAATCAGTTTTAAGAGCACATGCAGTAATAGTTATTAATGAGGCATAAAGCTTAGTGACTCCTGTAGGATAGCTTGGGCCTGAATATTTGGTGATCATAAAAAGATACTTCCTTGCATGATTTACATATTAAATTGGATAGAATGTTGTTTTATCATTCATTGTTTTTAACCCCTCAATGACTTTGTTCTTTAAGCATTTTTAGTGTTCTATATTTTATATTAAACATTGTCAGGTTCGGGGGAAGAGAATATGTAGGTTATCAAAATTGAAAGTAAACTCTGGAAATTCTTAAAAAAATGTTAGTGATGATACAATTCTTATAATCAAGAAATATGAATTTTTATTTAAATATAAACATAACAAAGAAAGTTTCCTTATCTGTTTATTATGAATATAATTCTATTGGTATTGTATATAATGAATATCATATTATTAAACAATATAATAAAAAGTGGTGATAAAGGCTGGTACCTGATGCCATAATTTTAAGCAGTAACTGAACTGGTATAAGCAGTAATAAAAATCTGAAGATGATAGAATGTGAAGTAAAAAAAAAAACTTTGAAATATGATTTAAACAAAAGAGCCATGTTATTTATAACAGTTACCACATTTTCAAAAATAGGCTTAATGATATTGTTTAAATTATCATTGGCATCTCTTTAAATAATCCTAAGTTGGTAGAACTGTTAACCTTTGGATATTTGTATATTATAATATCAGAGAAAACTGTAGGGAGAAGTGTCTGTTGACAGTGGTCAAAGATAGGTTAGAGAATGGTAGGTTTCTGAGCTAATTGCTGATCAGCAAATGAGTGTTAGGAAACTATATGGGCAGAGAAAGAACTGCCAGAAGGAGTAGGGGCAACAATCCTTAGGGCTCACACAGGGCTACAAACCATTTGAAATTGTATTTGACACAGGAATCTCTCAATTGCTATGTTTTGAATAAATGAAGTGAGTACCTACTATGTATCAGGCTCTGTTTTAGTTATTGATGATATAGAAGTGGGGGGGTAAAACAGATAAAGTTCTGTTCTCTATCTCTCTCTCCTTCTTGTTGTTGAGCTAATATTCTCATATTTTAAAAAACAATATTTGAAAAAGCCTTCAAATGTTTAAATTTTAAAAGTAACACAGTTTTAATATAAGTGAAATTATTTTTAAAAGACCTGCAACTGAAAGTATGTAAGTAGGCACTTAATTGTATGGTAGGTTTATCCAAAGCCAAAATGATGTATAAGAAGCCGTGTGTGAAGGATAGATGCAACTTACATTAAGAGATGACAGGAAAGGCATTCCAAGTGGAGGAACAGCAAGATAAGAGAGAAAAGGGAGATGAATATTTGGTGTTTGAGAAAACCAACCTAACTAGAACAGAAGGTTTATGTTAGGTATTCCTTTGTTAATTCAACATTTATTACATGAACAATTAATATGTGGCAACTACTGAGCTAGGTGTTATCCAGAAGCTGTATCCTCAGTGGGGGAAGCATGTAAGCTGCTGTACAATGTATCAAGTGTTACAATCTAGGGATTCCCTGGATTCTATCTATGGGAAGGCAGAATAGCAACTTCTACCCCTTTCTGAAGGGAAGCTACTAGGAGGAGATGATACCTAAACTCTCATTTGAAATCCACATGATAGCCCAAATTATGGGACTGGATGGGTACTCTGAAGGAGAATGTTGGAGCTACAGGGTAGGGCTGTACTGGGACAGTCACCACAGGAAGTCTAGCTAGTCAAGGAGACAGCGAAGGCAATGATGAAGTGGGCAAAAACAGGAGTATGTTGTCTTGTAAACAGAGGAAGGCTATTCAGAGTCAGGAGTGATCAGAACTGGAACAGGTAAGTCAAGAAGAAGAAATGAGAAAAAGCAATTGGATTTGATGAGAAAGTAGTCCCTGCAGACCTTCAGAATTGTTATTTTAGGAGAGTAGTTAGGAACAGAAACCAAATTGCAGCATGAATCTGTAAAAAAGTTTTGAATAGATACGTTGGCCATAAACCAAACAATTGACTTTTATATGGATCTACAAAGAACTGCTTAAACACTTTGCTCTTTTTGTCTTTTCAGGTTAGTAACTTCTAGTGATTTGATGAAAACTCTATCAAATTTAACTTTATTTAATGACTATCAATTAACTGTTCAGGCCACATTTAGTTTTTTGTCAGAAGCATAAAATGTTATTACTAAAATAGTATCTGACTCCAGTGGCAGTGCTACGACAAGAGCTTCTCTACTGTCTGGTCATTGTTCTCACCATTCATCACATCACTATGCCAACCTTGCTGTCTGTAAAGGAAAAGCCCAGTTTTCCTTCAGTGTAGGGAAAAATCCAGTTCTCCCTACTGTGGGTTTCTTCCCTTTGTGTCTCTTTTACTTTTACACAGAACACTTCACTTCTGTCACTTCTGGTTACCAATGTGAGAAGGCTTTTCCCCACAACAAGCAATTCTCTGTGATACCAGCTGAGTGGCCTGCAACTTAACTCAGTTTTGACACTATCGATCCAGAGATAGTGTCAGATCCCACAGGTTAAAGGCTCAGTCCCACAAGACTTCCCCCACCTCCCACTTCAGGCACCAGTCCCAAGCCCAGGTTATCACCTGTTCTTCTGATCAACTGGCTATAGATTGGAGGTTCTAACAACCCCCCCCCCCGCCTTGGGTTCAAAAATTTACTACAGTACCACACAGAACTCCGGGAATGAGTACAGTTATTTACCTTTACCAGTTTATTAAAGGACATTATAAAGGGTCAGATGAACAGTCAGATAAAGAGATACATAAGGTGAGGTCTGGGAAGGTCCCAAGTGCAGGAGCTTCTGTCCCTCTGGAGTTAGGGTGTGTCACCTTCTCGATATTGGATGTGTGCACCATCTGGAAGCTCCCCGAGCCTCATACTTTTGCTTTTTTGTGGAGGCTTCATCACATAGGCTTGAGATTGATCATTAACTCCATTTTTACCCTTCTGCCTTCTCAAGGGAATGGGGGACAGGGTTGAAAAGTCCAAGCTTCTAACCATGACTTGGTCTTTCTGGGGACCAGCTGTCATCCAGAAGTCCAGTCAGAGTCACCTCAGTAGAACAAAAGACACTCCTATCACTTGGGAAATTATGAGGATTTCAGGAGCTCTGTGGCAGGAACAGAGGTTAAAGACCAGTATTAGAACAAGAGATGCTCCTAATGTTTTTATCACTTAAAAAATTACAAGGGTTTTAGGAGCTCTGTGCCAGGAACTGGGGACAGAGACCAATATATATTTTCTATCATCTCACATTGTCCTTTTGTCAATGCAGGAAACCAAAGATAAACTCAAAGAGACAACAACAAAATTAACTCAAGCAAAGGAAGAAGCAGATCAAATTCGGAAAAATTGTCAGGATATGATAAAAACATATCAGGTATGCTTAAATTTTTGAATAGATTAGTAACAAATTATGCCAGATATCAGTACTCTTGTTTCATAAATTTTTGTATCTACAATATTCGAAGTGTGGAATAGATTTGGTAGGGCAGCTAAATTAAATACAGGCTGTTTCCTATGTTAAAGTACTTGCAGGTTAAATAGAGATCTTACTAGAGAAGTTTTCAACCAAATAAAAACACTAGAAAACGTTAGAAGAATGAAGAGTACAAGAAAATGTATAACTTAAAAAAAGAGCCCATTCTATTATGTTATATATGTTAAGTATGCTCTTCTAGTTGGTGCAAAATTGACGTATTTAAAATATTTGAATACAGTCATCAATTTTACATACATGAGCTATGTATTTCACGATGAGGAAACTTAATTGCAAAAGCCTTCTTCACATTTCAAAGCATAAAACTTTAAAAATTGTCATACTTTTGTCATTTCTTTCCCATTAGGAATCAGAAGAAATTAAATCAAATGAGCTTGATGCCAAGCTTAGAGTCACAAAAGGAGAACTTGAAAAACAAATGCAAGAAAAATCTGACCAGCTAGAAGTGAGTAGCTTTGTTCTTTGTATACCTTGGATGGTATAATATAGAGGAGAGAAACAACAAGTACTTATTGCCAGCTACTTTAAGGCCTTCTGGAAGGAGCAGGTAATAAATTTTAGATCTGGTTTAGTATATAATGATTTGTGGTTTCTTTTAAACTTTTTTAAAGATGCATCATGCCAAAATAAAGGAACTAGAAGATCTGAAGAGGACATTTAAGGAGGGCATGGATGAGCTACGAACACTGAGAACAAAGGTAATTCAGTCTTTAGTCATGACTCCAGAGGAAGGATAACTATCTTTAATTTTGTACTCATTCTGATTTTTAAATCTTGGGGAAAGGATATTTATATAGAAATATTTCAAAATCAAATAGTAGCATGTCAATTCCCTAGCAACAAAATTGACTCTTAGAGAAATAAAAGTGTCTTCCATTTCAGTCCCTTTAAAGTGTTTGCCAAACATTCCTGTTTCACAGCACATTTGCTTTATCTATAAGTTATCCTTGGTCCTCTGTTACATGGGCTTTAGAGCTGTGTCAGAAAATAATAGAAAGGGACTGCCCTGGTGGCGCAGTGGTTAAGAATCTGCCTGCCAATGCAGGGGACACAGATTCGAGCCCTGGACTGGGAAGATCCCACATGCCACGGAGCAACTAAGCCCGTGTGCCACAACTGCTGAGCCTGTGCTCTACAGCCCGTGAGCCACAACTACTGAGCCTGCGTGCCTGTGTTCCGCAACAAAGAGAAGCCACCACAATGAGAAGCCTGTGCACCGCAACAAAGAGTAGCCCCGCTTGCTGCAACTAGAGAAAGTAGAGAAAGCCTGCACGCAGCAATGAAGACCCAATGCAGCCAAAAATAAATAAATAAAATTAATTAATGAGAAAAGAAAAGAAAGAAAATAATAGAAAACCTTTACATTTCTCCTAGGTATATTTAATAGTCTTGTATACAGTTTTTTAAAAAAATGTTTGCTTGCTTGTTTATTTATTTATTTATTTGACTGCGTTGGGTCTTAGTTGCAGCACACAGGATCTTCATTGCATCATGCGGGGTCTTTCGTTGTGGCATGTGGGCTCTTCATTGCAGCGTGCAGGCTTCTCTCTAGTGTGGCACGCGGACTCAGTAGTTGCAGCATGCGGGCTCTCTTAGTTGCGGGCTCTCACGTGGGCTCTAGAGCACGCAGGCTAAGTAGTTGCGGTGCATGGGCTTAGTTGCCCTGCAGCATGGGGGATCCTAGTTCCCTGACCAGGGATTGAACCCACATCCCCTGCATTGGAAGGCAGATTCTTAACCACTGGACCACCAAGGAAGTCCCTTGTATACAGTTTTAATTTCTAACAACCTCTTAAATCTTTTCCAGTGTTATGGTTCTCATTTTAAGAATATTTGCCCTTTTAATATAAGTGTGAAATATGTTATCATTATATATCTTTCATTTATTTAGAAATAGGCTTTTAGGTAACCACCTTGAATTTGCGATCACTTAATAATTTTTAAAGTGTCTTTCATGTACCTTTCTATTTGTTCTTCATGCCAGTACTTTGAGGCAGATAGGGAACGTACATCCTCTTTTCAGATGAGAAAATGGAGATTCAGCCAGAATGAAGTGGCATGTTAAAAATCCCATGACTAAATCATGAGAAATCTGAGACTGAAACCCAAGACTGTTAACTTCCTATTATATTTTCTTCATGTTAATTAATATTGCTTCAGAATTTAGCTTAGATTATTAATATATAACCACTGTCTGAAATAGCTAATAAAGAACAAGAAAATATTGTTTGTAGTTTAACTCAATTATGATGATTTGATAGGTAAAATGTCTAGAAGATGAACGATTGAGAACAGAAGATGAATTATCAAAATATAAAGAAATTATTAATCGCCAAAAAGCTGAAATTCAGAATTTATTGGACAAAGTGAAAATTGCAGGTCAGATACAGGAGCAGCATCAAAGGTATAAAATGAGCAACTTCTGTTTATGCTAATCGACAGGCTTTTTGATTCTACCTTGTTTCTGTTTTTAAATGCAATTGTTGCATTAAATAAGAGTAATTTTATATTTTACTAGATAAAAAAAACTTTAATTCCTGTCTTCATTTGAACTTATTTTGGGTTTTCTTTGTAGTTCCCATCACGGCTTCTAAAAATCAAAGTTTATATTCCCTAAATATTGGCAGTAGTTTTTTTTTTTTTTTGGCAGTAGTTATTTATAAGACAGAATGGATTGTAGTTTTTTATCCATTCCTTAGCTTTCAAATTCTATTACTTATACACAGTATAAGTAGGTTTTCTTCGAAGAGATAGATATGTATCTATGTCTATATCTTTGCATGTATGTAGCTCAAGGTCAGGAGGTAACATTATTCCTTGGCTTCTTTTCTTTTTTTTTATAAATTTATTTTATTTATTTTTGGGGGCTGCTTTGGGTCTTTGTTGCTACACACGGGCTTTCTCTAGTTGCGGTAAGTGGGAGCTACTCTTTGTTGTGGTGCACATGCTTCTCATTGTGGTGGCTTCTCGTTGCAGAGCATGGGCTCTAGGCATGTGGACTTCAGTAGTTGTGGTGCGTGGACTCAGTGGTTGTGGCTCGTGGGCTCTAGAGTGCAGGCTCAGTAGTTGTGGCTCATGGGCTTAGTTGCTCCGCAGCATGTGGGATCTTCCTGGAGCAGGGCTCGAACCTGTGTCCCCTGCATTGGCAGGCGGATTCTTAACCACTGCGCCACCAGGGAAGTCCTATTCCTTGGCTTCTTATAAAGCCATTTAGCTAAATTCTACTTACGACATTACCTGAGAGAGCCTGGATTCAGGCTGGATCCAGATACCTTCTTCTTCATACCCTAGCAACACCCAGGGTGCTGAGTGTTGCTGAAGAAATCCTCAAGATCATCCAGATTGATGCTGCTATAAATTCATGGTTAGCAACCAACCTCAACTGGGAATCCTAATGCACCTCCAGTCCTACCATATGTCCTTAGTCAGAGCCTTCTCCCCATCTTCTTAGCATTATTCCAAACCTTACTGCTTTCTTCACACTTCTGATCTTCCCTCTCACCTTGCTCTTTACTCTTGTCAGGCGATTACCTCTTACTTCACAGAAAAAAAGGGAGCTGTCAGGTGACAGTTCTCTCAACCTCTTGCTATCAGTCCTATGAACTTGCCTGCATCTGCAGTCATTTCTCTTTTCCTTCTGTTATTATGGAAGAAATGTTCCTATTCTTTCTGAATCAAATTGTGGTCCCTACTCCTACTGTGGATCCCATGCTCTTCTGCCTTCTCAGGGTCTTTCTTGATTATTCCTTCTTTATCCTTTATCTCTTACCTCCCTCTTTTTACTGACTTTTCTTCTTTCTACATTTAAATATTATATCTTAAAAACATCAAAACTCCTATGATCTCCTTTCTCCCTTTCTTCACAACCAAAAATGTCTTTATAGAATCATCTGTGCTTGTTCTCCATTTCTTCACATGCTTTGTTCTTCTGTTCCTCTCCATTTATTCTAATGCCCTAGCATTCCATTACAAACTGCTAATGCATCCTTAAATATAGTAGATATTTCCCAGATTAAGCCTTGCTTGAATTTTCAGTATGGACACACTAAGCCCATTACCTTTCTTGACATGCTCTGTTCTTTTGGCTTCATTTCCTTGTACTTTCCTGGTGTTCCTCCCCACTTTCTGGCCAATCTTTTCTGTCTCCTTGGCAGCCTTCTCTTTATGTCATAAAGCTGTTTTTTGTTCTTATTTTATTATAACGCTGGGTGATCCTAACTCTTTCAGTAGTGTGCTGCAGGACCTTCAAGTTAATTATCATCAACCCTTTTTGCTGAGCTCCAGATACACAAGTATCAAAGACACCTCAAACTTATAATATGTCCAATACTGATTCATGTATCTTGTCCACAAATATGCTTCTCTGATGTTCCTGAGATGAATGATGAGTGTGACATCCACATGATTTTCCAACCCAGGAACCTGGGAGTTACCCTTGGCTCTTCTTTCCTTTCCCTCACACATGTAACCAGTCACAAAATATTTTTGATGCTAACTCTTTAATATCTTTCAAATCCATTTACTGTTTACATCCCCACTGCTGCTACCATTGTCCAACCCATTATCAGCTCTCCTGGCAAACTGCCAGGGCTTCTAAACTGTTTTGTTTTTTTGCTTCCCTTTTAGTCTGTTTCCTACACTGTGGTTAGGATAATCTTTTTTACAAAGGAAATCTCAAACCTCTCAATGATTTCCCATTGCCTCAAGGATTGCCTAGTGAGTTCAGATGGCTTAACATGGCTTGGAAGATCATTAGTAACCTTGCTTCTCCCTCTGTGCCTTCTCCTTCTTTATTCTGTATTTCAGCAATAGTTGGTTAACAAATGTTAATTAATTGTCTCCTAGATGCCGAGCCCTGTGCTAAGTGCTAGGATATAGTACTGTCCTTATCCTCATTGGTATTGAACATCTGTTTGTTAGTACCAACAAGAAGTCATTCTCTTGTTCCCTTCCCAGCTTTGCACATACTGTTTCCTCTACCTGGAACATATTTTGTTTTCCCACTCACTGTTACTTTCCCTTTAGCTCAGGAATTAGCAAACTATGGCCCAGAAGCCAAATCCAGCTCACTGCCTCTTTCTGTCAATAAACTTTTTTTGGGGAACACAGCCACTCTCATTCCTTTATGTATTATGTGTGGCTGCTTTCACACTACAGTGGCAGAGTTATAAACAGTTGTAACAAAGGCCATATGCTCCAGAAGCCTACATTGTTTGCTGTGTGGGCCTTTTACAGGAGAAGTTTGCTAACCCTTTGAATATTAGTTTACTCATCACTTACACTAGCTTAGGTGGCCCACTCTGTGCTTTCATCATCAAAAATGTTTTTTCACACTACTTGACTAAAAGTTCTTTGAAAGCAGGGGCCATGTCAGTCTTGCTTATGTATATTCCCAGCTCTTAGTTCCTAGCATATATTAGGCATTCATAGTAATCCAAATAAATATTTGGATGAATGAATAAAAGTACCTTCATAAAGAATTTCATTTGATGAAAATTCTCAAACCATTAATGTCTTTTAATAGTTTAATTTTTTTCTTAATTGTGAACTTTGTTTTCTAGAGGTAAACAAGAAATTGAAAATTTGAAGGAAGAAGTGGAAAGTCTTAATTCTTTGATTAATGACCTACAAAAAGACATCGAAGGCAGTAGGAAAAGAGAATCTGAGCTACTACTGTTTACAGAAAAGCTCACTAGTAAGAATGCACAACTTCAATCTGAATCCAATTCTTTGCAGTCACAGTTTGATAAACTTTCCTGTAGTGAAAGTCAGTTACAAGGCCAATGTGAACACATGAAACAGACAAATATTAATTTGGTAAGTATAAGTGTACATTTAACTTTTAAAGCAACATAGCAAGTAGCACAAATTAAATTTCCCTAAAAGCATAAACTTAATGGTAGTTGATTAAACTCTTTTTTTTTTTTTGGCACTGACTTTCTGATAATTTCAAATGCTATGAGAAATGTCAGTTTTTCCTTTCAACTTATGTAGTTTATAATAAAAATTTTTCCCTAACATCGTTAGGAAGAAATATTTCACTTTTGAAAGTAAGAAAACCAGGGTTTTTTTGTTATTCCTAACTGGATTTATTATATATTTCTTAAAAGAACTTTAAATTTCTATATTTTTATAGCTTAAAAATGGTTTAATATTTCCAAGTAGTGAGAGTATCTTCAGGTTACTCATAAAAATAATTTGAGACTTTAAACCAGAAATAGAGACATGAAAAAAAAAATACAGAGACCTGTATCACATGTTGTTTTACATGTATAGAATGGCAGATGCATTAATATATCCCCCTGCGTTACTGTATAAAGAATTTGAGGAGCTCAGTAAACAAAACCTGATAATGAGTGATGACAGAAGAATTTACTATGAAAGACCTAGTATTTTTAAGGTTTTAAACTGAACAGTAATTGAAACAGATATTAAAGTTGGTATTTTTTATCTTATTTAATATTTAGGAAAGTAGATTGTTAAAAGAAGAAGAACTGCGAAAAGAGGAAGTCCAGACTCTGCAAGCTGAACTCACTTGTAGACAAACCGAAGTCAAAACATTGAGTACCCAGGTCGAAGAATTAAAAGATGAATTAGTAACTCAAAGACGTAAACATGCCTCTAGTGTCAAGGATCTTACCAAACAACTTCAGCAAGGTATAAAATTTTTCTACACTTAGACCTTGAATGTTTTTGTTTCTTTTCACTGTTAAGGATTTATAGAAAAAGTATATTTTACATCAGTTTCTCCCACATTGATTAGAGCTGTGTGTTCTTTTTAATGTATTAATGTTAATAAACCACATGGCTGACCTTCTTGTAGTTCCATGAATAGTTTATAGCATGTTCTATGTTAAAAGACATTTATTCACAGAACCACAAAATGTAGGAATTGAGAAAGTACCTTACCAAGGCAGTAGTGTCTAGACTTTGTTGATCACATACTGCTGTCAATAAAAAAGTATTTAAGTATTTGTTCTCCAATTTGTAGCTAGTTATTTGTAAATTTTAAACATGTATTACTCTAGTTTATGCACATTAGAAAAACATGAAAAATACAAATTTAAAAAGATTAGATTAAATATAAGTATAAATAGAGTTCTGATATTTTCTCCCTACCCTTGTCTGTGAGTTGTTTTGTGCAGCATCTAGGATACCTGCCCCCACCTTGTAGACCTCTCACTTAGAGATCATTGAACCCTAACCCTTATTCTTAGGGGAAACTGAGACCCAGAAAGGTTATAAATTACCTGGACACAACAATTAACATCTAGAACTGGAACCCAGATTTCTTACATTTAAAAATTCATACAAATTGGGAGTCTGTGCTATGTGATTGGATACAAAGATGAATAAGAGATGTATTCTGACATCCTATTCTCTACTATTCCCCACTGCTTTATTTGTATTAAAATAGGGTGAAATATAGTAATATGGTAAAAGAGACTTAGTATTTACTTAATATAAATATATTCAGATATTTGCCATAAGAATTTAGTTTGTTTTCATAGATGTGATTGAAGGGAAATTTGGGGGAAATTTGTGGTAGTGTAGAGCTCTTCGAAATCTTTCAGGACTCCAAAAGTTAGGTTCTGTGTACCTAAGTGATGCCTGTATCAGTTGTTATCATAATGTTGTTTCCATATATTTTGTATATGACCTGTACATTTCTAGATGTCATTTTATATGAATGACCCTACAGCCCTCCTTTTGAAAGTACATGTTCAAGAAATTTCTCTTGTTGTTTATGCCGTTTTGGCCTAAGTGATTTTAGCAATTAAAATCAGAGATAGTGGGGGCCAGTGGTCATGACAGTTGTCACAAGTAATCCATTTCTTTTTCCTGCAGCACGAAGAAAGTTAGATCAGGTTGAGAATGGAAGCTATGATAAAGAAGTCAGCAGCATGGGAAGTCGTTCTAGTTCATCAGGTGAAAAACTAATGTTTTTACAGTTGTTTTTTAGTGATTGATTATAAAAAGAAATAGCATTTTTCGGGAATTCCCTGGTGGTCCAGTGGTTAGGGCTCTGTGCTTTCACTGCCGAGGGTGTGGGTTCAATCCCTGGTCAGGGAACTAAGATCCCATGAGCCGCGGCATGGCCAAAAAAAAAAAGGAAAAGAAATAGGATTTTTTGTTTAAAAAGTATCGATATGCTTTTCTTTAATTTTGAATTATAAAAAGCAGTAGTTGTACATAATTATGTTGTAAAAAGTATTTCCAGTTAAATGTTTAATCATTAGACAGGGTTTCAAGTTTGTCATGGGTTTCTATACCATCTGTCTCCCTACCTCCTTTTCCGTACCTGCTTCTTTATTCTGTGCAACAGTTTACTCTTCCATTTTTAAATTCAGATTTGTATCCATCTATAGAGAGATTTGGTGTAGTATGCTCTTTTGTTTTCTTTTAATTTTATATTACTTTTAACACCTGAGAGCTAATGAAATGGTCATCATTATATATCAGATTTTATATATATATATGTATGTGTGTGTGTGTGTGTATTTTTAAATCTTTTTGCTTTTCTCATGGTAAATATACCTATAGTCTAAAGCAAAAATTGAATCTATAAAATTATGATCAGTAGCACTGTGAAAATTATAATTGGCAAAATATCAGCATATTTACCATTTTTGGAATGCCAGGAACCGTGCTAAATGTTTTAAACATATCATTTACTCACAGAACAGCCATGTGAAATAAGTGTTGTATTCCCATTTTACAGATGGGGAAACTTAAGATTCATAGTGGTTGCATGACTTTCCCAAAATCCACAGTAACAGAACTCTCAGGCTCTGGAGTCTGCACGCCACTACATACACTGCCTCCCAGGAGTTGCACATTAGGGGAAAAAACATCATCAACTGTTACAATAGTGGGAAAATTGTGTAGTAGAAAGAACATGGGTTTGAGATTACACATTGGGTATTTAGATCCCAGCTCTACCATTTATTTGTGCATTACCTTGGATAAGATATATTACTTGTCTTAAATCTACATAATAGGGTTAGGAAAAAAATGTGTCTTTGTAGGATAAAAAGGATTAGAAATTCTTCTCAAATAATATTGGTAAAAATAATAGCTAACATGTACTTAGTGCATACTATATATGCTGTTCATGCACTTCAGACATGTTAACTAATTTAATGAGGATAACAGTCCTACGAGGCAAATCATATTATGATTCACATTTTGAAATGAAGTGACCTTGATACAGAGAGTTAACTTGTCCAAAGTCACACAGCTTGAAAGTGGAGAAGTAAGATTTGAACCTAGGAAGACTGGTTCCAGAGCTTAACCCACTGGCTATATTCTGTCTTCTGTCTTTATCTGTGTCTGTCTCAGTTTAATTTTGGTGTCACTTCAGACTTGTTTTTCTGACTTTTCTGGAATTTCTCATTTCTCTATTGCACTTACTCATTCTGTTCCTGAGAGACATACTAGACCCTTCTTCCTTCCTCCCTCCCTCCCTCCCTCCCTCCATCCCTCCCTCCCTCCCTCCCTCCCTCCCTCCCTCCCTCCCTCCCTCCCTCCCTTCCTCCCTTCCTTATTTATGGCTGCCTTCGGCCTTCATTGCTGTGCACAGGCTTTCTCTAGTTGCCGTGAGTAGGGGCTACTCATTGTTGTGGTGCACGGGCTTCTCATTGTGGTGGCTTCTCTTGTTGAGAAGCACAGGCTCTAGGCACGTGGGCTTCAGTAGTTTTTTTTTTTTACATCTTTATTGGAGTATAATTGCTTTACAATCGTGTGTTAGTTTCTGCTTTATAACAAAGTGAATCAGTTATACATATGTTCCCATATCTCTTCCCTCTTGCGTCTTCCTCCCTCACACCCTCCCTATCCCACCCCTCTAGGTGGTCACAAACCACCGAGCTGATCTCCCTGTGCTTTGCGGCTGCTTCCCACTAACTATCTATTTCACGTTTGGTAGTGTATATATGTCCATGCCACTCTCTCACTTTGTCACAGCTTACCCTTCCCCCTCCCCATATCCTCAAGTCCATTCTCTAGTAGGTCTGTGTCTTTATTCCTGTCTTACCCCTAGGTTCTTCATGACATTTTTTTTTCTTAAATTCCATATATATGTGTTAGCATAAGGTATTTATCTTTCTCTTTCTGACTGACTTCAGTAGTTTTGGCACACGGGCTTAGTTGCTCTGTGGCATGTGGGATCTTCCCGGACCAGGGATTGAACCCGTGTCCCCTGCATTGGCAGGCAGATTCTTAACCACTGTGCCACCAGGGAAGCCCTAGACCCTTTTTTCTATCATCAATGTATTCAGAAACGAACTCAGGTCACGTATGACTTGTGTTCTGTACCCAACTCTGTTAAATTGAATATGTGAAAATGATACTAGAAGAAATAATATATGAGATTAGAGTTGACTTCAGACTAAGTACAATAAGTGGATTTTTTTTGTCTTCAGGGTCCCTCAATGCTCGAAGCAGTGCAGAAGATCGATCTCCAGAAAATACTGGGTCGTCAGTAGCTGTAGATAACTTTCCAGAAGTAGACAAGGCCATGCTGATTGAGAGGATAGTAAGGCTGCAAAAGGCACATGCTCGGAAAAATGAAAAGATAGAATTTATGGAGGATCACATCAAACAATTGGTGGAAGAAATTAGGAAAAAAACAAAGTATGTATTATTATGGTACTGTAATCTGTGTTCAAAATACCATTATTCACATGGTAAAGTTATTGTGTTCAAAATTAGTCATATCAAGAGTTTTTCTTTCAAAAAATAGTTCTTAAAACTATAGTCATTCAGTTCCCAATCTTTTACTGATAACTTATTTATGTTCTAGGTTTTGGGACTACAGACATTAAAGAAAACACAGGTCTTTCCTTTAAGGTGATACAGAGTTCAGTAGACACTAATTTTTTAAGATACTAAAATACCTTTGGACTTAAAAACAGATAGTGCTCTACTTAGCTTTTTATTTTCAAGATGGTGGTTTTAAGAGATACTGGGGTTGTGGATTATCATTCCTGTTGGGCAGGACATAGTGAGTTATTATTGGGCATCTACTAAATATAGTAGAGAAATATAAATATAAGGCACTGTGCCTGTGACTTAACAGTATCTCATTGATTTCTTAAAACTACCCAGGGAGAGAATGAGTCCTCTAGTTCAGGGGTACCCAACTCCCGGCAATGCAGGCTCCCCATCGCTCGCATTACTGCCTGAAGTAGCCCACCCCACGCCCCAGGCCGTGGAAGAACTGTCTTCCACTAAACTGGTCCCTGGTGCCAGAAAGGTTGGGGACCACTGTGTCTAATTTGATAGGTTAATTAATTGGGGCTCAGGTCAAATTACTAAATGTTCCAGAGTCACCACTCATCCTGTAAGTGACAGACCGAGAGTTGGAAATCCAAACCCAGCTCTGACTGGCTCCAGAGCCTGTGCTGGGCCAAATTCCTCTCACAGATACCATATTCATTTAAGTAATATTGTGGGTCTTTACCCATGACTTAAAAATTTTTATTTTGAAATAAGTTTAGACTTAGAGAAAAATTTGCCCATGACTTTTAAACGAAAAAGAGTAAAACACAGTTTTAAGTTTAATGACAGGAAAATAGAAAATATTAACTGAAACTGGAACAATAAATTGCTCACATATTTTGATTTAAAGTAATAAGGAAAAAATAGAAAAGCAATGTTTATATATCTTTAATCTAAATACCATGTTAGAACGAAAATGGGATTGTTTAAGAAACCATCTGAATAAGGAAAACCCCTTTATTTGCTAATATAGTTCTGTCATTAACTAATAGATAATTACTTTATGCTAATCATCTTTAAGCTTATGATTAGTTGACTCTTGCAAATTACAGTGTTTGTAATTCTGCAAGGCATAACTGATAGTGTCGTTTTATTTTGCAGAATAATTCAGAGTTACGTTTTACGAGAAGAATCAGGCACACTTTCTTCAGAGGCATCTGATTTTAACAAAGTCCATTTAAGTAGACGGGGTGGCATCATGGCATCTTTATACACATCCCATCCAGCTGATAGTGGATTAACATTGGAACTCTCTTTGGAGATCAACCGAAAACTACAGGCTGTTTTGGAGGATACGTTATTGAAAAATATTACTTTGAAGGTATTTGTATTTCTCATTCACTTACCAACCAATAAACATGACAAAAATGGTGCCTCTTTCATAGTTCGATCCAACACATGGATGGACTATTTCTGTAATGCAGGGTAGCCGTTTTTTCCGTATATAAAATTTTGTGTTTTTCTCTTTTTGAAAAGTACAATTTTTTAAATTAGCAGGAAAGAAAGAAATAGCAAAAAAATCAGTTTAGCTGTTGGATAGACGCTAAGATGAGTCATTTACCGAGTCATTTACTTTGCAGTGGGTGGCCTTTGACATATATTACAATTAGTTATAATTGATTACTGAGACTTTAAGATTGAGGCATTTATTTTCTAATGTATTCCAGCTTTATTTTATTTTTTGCAGCTGTTATCTGACCCAGCTATTCTATCTGTGCTGTCTGGGCCTTGATGGTTAGTAATGGATTTAAAAAATAATTTTTTTAATCTGGTAATATTTTTAGGCACTAAAATTTGCTATAGCTTCAGTAAAAAGAGTTTCTGACTCTGAAGTGTACAGGATTACTTTACTGAAAACAGCCGTGTGCCTAGTTTATCTCGCATGGCATTTAAGACTGTCACTGTTTCAGTTCAGAATTTAGGCAAAAATAGTTCAAACTGAATCTTTTTACTTATTATACTTAGTAGTTCTGTTTTCTTTTCCCTCTTTTTCCAATTGTTAAAGGAAAATCTGCAAACACTTGGAACAGAAATAGAACGTCTTATTAAACACCAGCATGACCTAGAGCAGAGGACGAAGAAAACCTAACACAAAGTTCTTCCTCAGTAAACAGACAAAAGCTACACAAGGAGCAGGTGCCATTGCCCAGTATTGTTGGAAACTTTTCCCTGCTTTGTGTGTCAGCCAGTAAAAAATTTGTTTTGCTTCATCTGTATAAAAAAGTACCTTTTTACAATACAAGTGCATTGCTGTGTATACTGTAAGAATGTAAGCTTTGATGAAACTTGTTTTTGTGTGGTGACAGCCTGTCATTGAATCAGAACAACTTATTTAATTTGCTGATAGTCATATGAAGTGCTGAACATTATGACAAGGGCTTTTGAAAACCCCTTCTCCGTATTTCTTCCCTTTAAAATATATAATCTCAAAAATGATTTCACTTTTTAAAATTATGCATGAAAGGACAGGTGTTAATCATTCAGTAATATGCTGTTTCTCCAACATGAAGAAAACTAAAGAAGTGATTAAAAACTTGTTTTCTTTCTAATATAACATTTGCTTGTGTGTTAGGGATGCCAATGAGTTCTTAAACCATTTGATTTTAATGGAAGCTAATAGGAAAGCTAGCTTTTGGTAACTAGCAATGATCAGGCATTGTATGCCCCTGTCAGGTTTCCTTATTTGTGCTAGGTACATTTTTTTCAGATTCGAATTGAGTTAATAGTTGAGTTTTTTAAATCTCCAGTTACATAAAATATGATTTTAAATAATCTGCTCATTTAGAGAATTCCTGTGGACTTCAGTTATATTTTAAAATGTGAAATGGATAAGTCTCATTAGAACAGAGAGATGAATAATGGATTCTTTGAAACTGAAGTACTTTAGTTTTACTGACATCAAGTATAAAGATAAATTTAAGATATTTATAAAGAACCAGTTCCCAAGAAAATCCAGCATATGGCACTGTTAACCATTTTATCTGTTCACCATTCTTTACTGTTGGTATAATTACATATTATAGTGGGGTGATCTTACAGTCCCCAGATATGATGTGTTTGGTATATTTATTTAAAATACAAAATAATTACATCTCCGTAACCAAAGGAATTTTAGAACCAAATTTATGTATCCTGTTGGAGTTTTACAATATTTATGATGTACACTTAAATGTTGACAGTCATAGTATCAGTATTTCTGTCATTGAATTTTTTTCTCACCTCTTGTAATTTCTCACTTATTTTAATTTGTGTGTGTGGTTTTTCACATTTCATTATATTCAGATAATTTCTGTAGTAGATACCTTGGCACATACACAGATGTTGCAGCAAGCCTCATTTTCGTTTTGGATTTTCGCCAACTTCTTTCTCCCCTTAACAGAATTAAGCTTTGCGGTGGATTAAAAGCCTTTAAAGAATTGTGTGGCTGGGCTTCCCTGGTGGTGCAGTGGTTGAGAGTCCGCCTGCCGAAGCAGGGGACACGGGTTCGTCCCCCAGTCCGGGAGGATCCCACGTGCCGCGGAGCGGCTGGGCCCGTGAGCCATGGCCGCTGGGCCTGCGCGTCCGGAGCCTGTGTTCCACAATTGGAGAGGCCACAACAGTAAGAGGCCCACGTAGCGCAAAAAAAAAACCAAAAAAACAAGAATTGTGTGGCTTTAAAAGTTGGGCTGGGCTTATGGTGGCAATTTCCCTTTAATGTGTTTTAACTTTTTTTTTTTTAAATGAACATTGCTTAAAAAGATCAGTTACTAAGGATTAGATAATTCAATGCAGCATTTTTTCTGTATATTGAGTTATATATGTTGTCATCTAAAAACAAAATCTTTTCACTTCAGAATGGAAATACAAGTTCAGAAACATTTTATATTTAAAATAGCTATAAAACTTTTAGCCTTACCATAATGTATCTTGTTCTTTTTACCAGTAATAATTTATCAAAATAAAGAAATAAGAGGGTAAGTGCAATCACATCTGAATTATTTTCCTAGTTGTTTTTGACAATAATGTCGATACTCCCAAAGACTATTTAGAGTAGTCAACATAACTAAATTTTTATAGCTTCTTATGTGATATAGATTCATACACTACAATATTTGTTTTTTTCCTCCGAAGACACAAAATATATTAATGGAGACCAAATAGTGGTCAGAACCATAGTATTCTGTGTCTATACACCTTAAAAATATATATACATTTTTTTGCATACATATATTACATATGAAAATGAAACATTCCAATATTAACATTTGTGCCAGCATTCACTTAGAGAAGTTTAATGGTTAAACAATTTTAGAAGAATGTAATTATAAACCATATTTTGACTTATTACTTTTCCCACCCATAAATGTATGGAACTGTGGAAAACTTGAAGAAAATGCTTTATTTTCCTTTTGCTCCTTAGTTTCTACTGTATCCTTTTGTATATGGATCAGGACTGAGCAAAGTGTGTACAAAAATGTGCATTTATCAGCTCCCTCTCTCTAAACTGATTCACAGACAGATTCTGATGTAAACATTTAGAGGACCTTCTACCCATACTGTACTGAATATATGAAGAGAAGAATGGGGTGTCTAGAAAAGGAAAATGGTCCGGATAAACTTGAGATCTAGCAGAAATTTTGTTTTATGTGTTTATTATTAATTGAACACATCAAATGCTGTTTTTGTTAGCAGTATTTTGGTTTCTTTGAGCAGGAAATGATTTTTGTGTGTGTGTATATATATGTATACACTTCACTAGGTTCACTTTTAAAGTGCATACTTGCTGTGACTCCCTTTTTCCCATACCACTTCAAACGTTAGCCTGATAAGTTTTAAGGATTGAAAATGGTGGGTTTGGGCAGAAGAATGAGTTTAAACTTTAGTGTTTTTTTTTTTTAAACTTTCTATCCATAACCATTTAAAGCAGATTATCTTGAAATTAAATTTTGTCAGGCTACCAACATTTATTATTATTTATTCATGTAATAAACATGAATGAATTTATTCATGTAATAAACACAGTTATTAGAAACCTCTTATTGCCAGGCACCATACAGGGTATCATCATTATACTGGTAGACAGACCAGACAGGGCAATTCCTGTCCTTACGGAGCTTATGGTCTAGTGAAAATAGCTGGGAGGCAGTAGGAGCGGCTCTTTAAGCCTCTGCAGCTCACAACCAGCCCCTGTTGGAAGAGGGTTAATTCACTGGTGCAAGTAGGTGACCCAGAAGTCTCACTCTGGCGTGAAGCTTTGGGAAATGAATCCTTGCTGAGGTACACTGAGAGCAGATTGCTGTTTTCATGGTGGTTCTGCACGTTCCTAACTTTTTCACAGCTTGATGTTTATTCTTTAAGAAGAAGGAAAAAAATCCAAAGACTATAAAATGGTATTTGATTTTTGCCATTTTAGTAAATTATTAATGTCTACTTGATGCTTATAAAGATGAATCTAATCACATTGTCATGCATATTTCCAAACTTTGTTTTGCAGTATACTCTAAAGACTTTTACATATAATTTTAGACCACGATTTACCAGTAGAAGGAAAGAAGCACTAGAAACCATTAATATTGTAAATGTTATATATGCTACCATGGTGAAAATATTTTTATCAATCATGTTATTCCATATCATTAATTTGCCTTATGGATGCTGAGTTCAGTGGTCTATCTTCCAGTAACCTTTTTAAAACAAAACAATTCTTTTTTGACACTAAGATTGTTAATTTTTAACACCAGTTGGTGGCACTAGAAACCTGAAAATTTTCAAGGCTGAACAAGAGAAGATAATCCAAACAAAGAATTTTCAGGAAAATAAATGAAAAATATAATTGTATATTAAAGATGTATTTTCTTCTGGAATGAAATTCTTTTTTAAAATGCATATGGCTGTCCATTTTGACTATGATGAAACTTGTTTACCTTCCAAAGTTCATATATATATATGTGTGTGCATTGTACAGATAATCTTTAGTTTGATTATACTGTTCATTTTGTAAATATGTTTCTGTATAAAATGAAGCTTTTCAAGAGAATTTTATGTATATATTGTACTTATTAAATAGGTAATGCCTATTTACCAAGTTGTATTTTACTGGCATCTTTGTTTATTTATTTACGCACACCACTTGCTAACAGACTGATTCTCCAGACTTGGCAAAACCTGATACAGATTGCTTGAATTTTCTTTTTTAAACCAGATTAAGAATTTTTGCTTTCCATTTTTGTCTTTACTGATTACCATTAAAAGTCAGTGAACAATAGTCAGCAAACTGAATGCCACGTTGTATTTTAAATTTTTGTTTAAATTATTGATAGCAAAATTCGGCCTTTTATAAAAGGCCTTTTATACATGCCTGTGTGAAAATTTCTCATTGAACTTGACAAGCCAGTAATAAATTCAGATTTTCCACAAAATTATGGAACTTACTTGCCCAAATTATCCAGCTTTAACAATAAAGATCTAATACGTTCAATAAAAATATATTGAAATGGCATTAATTTCATGAAGGTAATGTGTATGGTGGATATTTCACATCACAATGTGTTTTCCATTTCTCTTAACAGTTCAAGTACACAGATTATGCAACGTTCCTTAAAGAGTTTACTATTGGAAAGAATCCCCTGAAATCAGGATCCTTGGAATAAAGGTAAAAGTAATAGAATAGAGGAAGCTTTCCTGACATCCTTAATAGTCTGCGTTCAGCAACTTGTAGATTTGTTTGCAAGAGAGGAATATATGAAAGAAGGGGGTGAGTTATTGGAAGAGTATTGGCTTACAGTTCTTCAGTGTGACCCACAGTCGTAAAAGACCGTTCCAACAAAGTTAAATCCAAGTCTGTTTCTTCTTAATAAAGTCTGCTTCAATCAATGAGTGTAGAATGAATGCACGCTTCTTCAGGACCAGCAACTTGGGAGGATGCCTCTGGCTGACCAATGCTAATGCTCTTTTAATGATTCTGAAAACAGTGTGACTAGACTTGGTGTCCCTGCCCCTGCAGAGATGCACCATTAATTCCTAAGTTACATTTAAGAGACTTGATTCTTATTTTTTAAAAGAAGCATCCACTTAAGTAGTTTTCTGTTTCTGAAGAATTTTCAGCCTTTAAATTGTCCAAAGGCCATGCTTCTTGCCAGTCAGACTTGCCAGTCTGCCCCCTAATTGTACTTCAAAAAAAAGGATAGGATGTTAGACCTGAGAGGAAAATCTCTACCATTTAACCCAGTGCAAAAAGAGTTCTATTGAAAGTTGAGGATTCACTGAAATAAGAAAACTTAGCTTGTTGAGAATCAACTTCTAGTTACATTTACTTGGGAACTATATTAAATACTAGAATGGCTTTCCACATCATCCATTTCACTGTGTAGTTTTTGCTTTTAATGACTAATTAAAGGCCCAAGGACAGGAAATTGTGTGTATGTGTTTTCAGCATCCTTATGCTTTACTTGTCCCAAGAAATAGCAGTTAAACCTGCCACAGTAGCTATTGTTTCTTTGGCGGTTTCTTCTTTATGAAGTCTGACCAGGGAAGATACCCCCAAATGTCCACTACCTCTGATGCCCTTGATCTAGTCTGCCTGCCCACATGAAACACTTGCAGCTCTATTCCCACCAGAGCCCCCATAGATCCCATCTCCCCTCAAAAAACAGGTCCCTAGGAGTCCATGCTAAAGGAGGCTGTTGCTTTGGGCTCTGAACTGACTTCTTCCTGGATTTTGTGTTTTGTTTTGGGGTTAATTTGGGGCAAGCCTGGAGGGATTGGAGGGAGACCCTGCTGGGACTTGCCGGCCAAGAAGAGTCTGTTCCTGGCTTTCCTAATTGAAATTCAGAACCCACTTTCTTATAGAAATCGTATTTTGAAACAGTGACTGACTAAGTCTTATCAAAATTTATGAGTAAAAAGGCTTTGTGTGCTTGCCTGTAACATTTATTACCTTTTTTCTTTATGTGGTTAAATGCCTTCTAAGCTCCAAGGCACCAACTTTCAAAAAAAGTTAAAGCAGAGGCTTGGAAGCATAACTTCATGGCAGAATGGTGCTCCACATGCTCAAGCCCCAGGTGCCTTCTGAGAGACTGGATGATCCAGTATCACAGTCTGACAAAGGTGTTGTGAAGTTTAAGCAGTCTGAGTAACTTGTTTGCAAAGTGCATACTCTGAAGCACAAACGTTGCTGATGGTTTTTAAAGATCGCACTCTACCTGCAGGCATGACATCGTTCCATTTCAGTAACAGCTTTGGGATAAAGCGGAAGAGGACCTTTCCTTTTGTCTTTGCCCACACTCACTGCCTCCCCCATCACACAACTTATCACACCCAAAACAACAACCAGAACTCTACCTGTGCAGAGCTGGTTTGGCTGTCTCTGAGTTTCCAGCCTTCATCGATTCCTTCAGCATCCTGCTTGGATGGGCTTTTATTTACCAAGTCAGTCAAGT